CCGTAAAAAGGTTTTGCGTTAAATAACCGGCAACGTTGTATAAAAAGTTTGCTCTCGACTGCAGCGGCCGAACCGATTTGTCATCACGCTATCCAGCAATATAATTCGTTTAAAGTCTTAAAAAAAGTGCGTTTTATTGAAGAGAAACAAATCCGATACAGTCCACTAAAAACGAGGAACATAATTCCTACACCAGGCTATGCAGACCGTCGCAATTTTTAGGAAAAGTTTCTAAGGGTTGAAGCTTCAAGTCGGAGAAATTTTATTGAAATGCGAGCCTTCGTGGTTTTTTGGAAAACCGGCAAGTAAAAGTCTGAAATGACAAAGCGCCCGAAAAAGGCAGGCGGCTGTTAAAAAATTAGAAACTTCCCAACCAGTGCATGAAAACAGTTGCAATTTTTTCCAGGTATTATATAAGGGTTGAAGCTTCATGTGAAAGAAAACTGAGTAAACTTCAATCTTTGGCTGACTTTTTACGAGCCTCCAAACTTGAGGCCCAACTGAAAGAGTGCTTCAAACGCGCATCGGGAATGTTGACGCCTCAACCTGACAATTTTATTAAAATAAAAATATTTGTCATTTTCTGACGCTCTGTTTTGATCTTTCGGGAATAATATTAGATCAAACTGTCTGCGTCTTTACACTCGTTATGTCTTTCATGTAAAACCGTCACTTGATTCCTTTCCAATGCAAATAGTAGAATTCCAACAGATCAATCAATTTTAACTTTCTTTTTACTAAACAAAAGGTTTTTGCGTAACTTTCTCGTTGCCATGCTAGAAGTACTTCCACTAAATCCGCTATTAACATAAAGCGTCAATTTGCACAGTTCGACCCTGACTTCTTGCTGGCCATTACCTATACCATGCCATTTTTCTCTTCAGTCGCAAGCAAGGTGATGTCATGCCTTGACTTCCTGGTTAAATTCAATAAAAGTCAATGACAACACCTTCAATTAAAAACAACGCGTAGATGGATCTGTACTTGACGAAAAATCGTTCTCAATTCATGTTTTTGCTGTAAAAGAAAACGAGCATTAACTAGCAGGCATTTTAGCAACTATTAAAGTTATAGCGACAAGGTAATTATTATTCAGCGCCAATTAGATCCGCCACATCCCGGAAGTTTTGCATCATAACTTTCTTTCTTTTTCCGGTTTTGGCAAATCGGCGGCCGACCAATTAAATAATCGCTCGAATGTAGTTAAGATTTGAGAATCTTCAGATCGAAAAACTTTGCGCCAAATGCTAATGCGTTTTAATTACATGATTGCAAATCGGCACGTGGAAGCGATTCGGTAAATAAACCAGGAAAATGTATCGGAACACATGTATATAAATCACTTACAAAGCGTGTTACTGAGATATTGTTTGTTAATAGGCGCGTATTCTGCATACTTTCTAAGCAACGTGCCAAACTGTGTCTCCCTGAACTTTATCATTCTTTTTTTAATTAATTTTCTAAGTTTGTTGCACTTTACATGCTGCACAAACAGAAAAACAACATTACAACTTGACCCAAAAATTATTAACAAATATTTGAATCGAAACGAAAGTCGGCAAACGGTTTGTTTTTTGAGGAAAGTACCAAGTTGAAATTTATCCAACGAACCATTTAAGGTGATTTGTGCTGTTGAAATTTCATTCATTTCTTGAAAGACTGAAAGTCAAACCCTTATTTTTATTAATTTCCTCTGTTTATTTTCAATGTGAATTGAATGAATTTCAAAAGAAATTTCGAAAAACAACAATGTGTTCAATATTCTGCGTGTTTAGTGGATGTCGAAAGAAAAACGACGTGTTTGTGAATAACAATAGACACCAATTAATTTATATTGAAGATAAACAACATTGTTTGCCATCTTATTCGCAGAATTGGTTGCCTGAGAACGGAGTATAACCTGATTAAAATGTTATCAACGCCGCTCAATAAAACTTGAGCTATGAACGCATAGAAAAACTCCAGTCATACTTATCTGAATAAATTGGTATTAAAGTATTACAAAAACTTGGAAAATCCAGGTTTAGCTTGGGTTCAACTGACCTGAACCTGAACTTGTGCTGTGCATTTCAACTGACTATGAACTTTTCTTCAAGTGGATGAAAAAAAAACGCAGTTCTAAAACTCGATGGAAATTAACTGATGCGAAATTATGGTCGACTAAGGAAAAGCAGGTCATTAAAAGTCCTCGTCCTTTTAATGCGTTGCAGAGCGATCTTGTGAAAATATTCCAAAACCAGTCTTATTCATAAATAATTCATCGATATTGTAGTGGACTTGATTCCAAACATTTCAGTTACTCGCTTTAGTTTTATTTTTATGCATTTTTATAACAATTCAATCAATTTCACATGCATCAATACTAATACAGGCGCCTGTTCTAATTAAGGCAAGTAGAGTATCGATGCATTGTCACCTAAATTACAGTACTAAATATAGCCGACAGATGCGAATCCAAAGGCTGACTAAGAATAGTTCAGATTGACCCGATAAAATTAATTAAACCTCATCTGAAGGCATTGCACTAATGGCTTGTGATGAAACATTGGAAGCTGCATACACTGATGAAGTGGCCAAAATCAACGTGTTTCTCAATTCAGCTAAAAAAATCTAGCAGATTTAGATGAAAGTGAGCTGAAGTTACGCAGAATTAATGGAAAATTCTTACTGAGTCATACTGTTTCCAAACTACTTTGGACTTTCGAGTATGAAAACGTTCCCGTATTATTGGCAAAGTTTGCGGAATAACTGTCCATCTTAATCGGATGGTTTGTGAGCAATTTTTCAATAAATAAAGCCAGTCATGCATTGTTTCCAAATTCCTTGTTCTACTATGTACATTTTGCGTATTACGTGAGGAGTGTTTTATGTTTCTAACACTAAAGCACGGTTTAACCTCGTGTTGTTCTAATTCGGTTCTACACAGATCACATAATATGAATTAATGTTCCAGCAGTGTAGAGTGGGAAATTCTCGATTGGAAATTTGGCGCTGGCTGAATATGCTTTGTATGCAAATAGAATTTCCGCAAACCAAAATCCTTGAACTGTACTGAAACTGTACACTGATAAAGGGAAAACCCACCAGAAGTATTCACGTAAAAGTCTAGAAATCATTAATTGAATGGCACAGATGATTTAGGGCAAATGATAAGATTCGCATCCACATATCGAAACCTTGAAAGTCTGTTTCTGTCTACAGCGTTTTATTAACAATAACTCGACCGGAAACCATCACAATTTTTGCAATAAAACTCATAAAATCATTGAGTTTAATTTTTTTGACCTTATTATATTAACGAAAACAGAAAAGCAAGAAGCAAACAAAAAGCCCCAATAACTTGTTTATGGAAAATGCAAACCTTGGCAGTTTTTAGTGAGCATTTTAATTAGCCAGATGTTAAGGGCGATGCAAAGTCCAGACAACGTTAAACCGAAGGCGTTTTCTCTTATCAGGAAAGCCTTGATTTCGTCATTGAGTTTTTGGCTTTTTTCCATTCAGGATTCGTTAAACAAGAATTATTTAAGGCAACTTTTTTAAATGTTTTATCATCAGCTCCTGAAAAACCTGTTGCAATCTTAACTGTTTACATAATGTTTAAAATGCGTTTAATTTAACGAAACTGGAGCGACAATTTCTTCGACAAATACTAGAACACACGTTTTATCTAATTGAAAAGAATTCGCTAAAGCTGTAATACAAAGGAGAAATAAATCCGGGTTTTCCTAGTCCGTTAACTTTGGTGCACACTCAAATTTAAATTGTGCAAATATTAGCGCATGTAATTTACATAATGCCGGCGTCAATTAATCCTGATGTTAAGCGAGAGTGTAACTTCAGAAGAAAAAGAGCATTTTGAAAGATTTGATTAGTTCACATGTTTCTTAAACCGATGTAGGGATCAGTAAAAAAGTATAAAAAGAAAAACTCAATAGTTTCAAGTGATGACCGCGAAAGTGCTCTGTTGAGAACGCATAATCAGAAAATCAGGTATTATCCAATAGGTAGTCATATCGAAATTAGACGATGATATTGAAAAAAGTTACGTTCGCTTTAGCTAATACTTCAGATATAGCAAAACCGGCTCAATGTATCAATGTTGTCGTCTGTTGTTGACAAAAATCGATAGCACTACGTTCAATTACTACAGGATGGCTTTATCTTCAAATTCTAAATAAATATCATCGTCAGGAGCCTTTATGTTCATAGTTGTTATCACAGAGGTTGCCATTTCTTTGATAAATTCGGATTCCCATAACCAAAATGTCATTTTCGCTCGAACCTCGAACCACTCTTCCGCATTGTTGTGTTGGTTCTTCCCTGTGAACAGCAGCTGCAGCAATGGGGTTCTTCAAGAGGTAAATATTGAATGGAATCGAATTGAGTAGAAATTTTTGCGCCTGAAACATCTTTATTGGATATTGCTTTCATTGAAATTGGTCTTAGACTGACTGCAAACAGAATGGTGTGGCATCTATCTAAATTTGTTATCATTGAACACTTGCTGCCCTTATGGGGCACTTTCGCAATCAATTCTAGACTTTACATAAAACTTTTATGATCCTGATCAGGAAATACGAAAATCTTGCTCACAATGATTGTAGTAAAACCTAAAATCAGACATGCAAGCAGTGGCTTCTTATCATCACGCCGCTGCATGATATCAAGCAAGCTTTGTTCGGTTGTCGCTAATTTACAATGCAAATTTCGCGACACTTTAATTCAAATTAAACTGCTAATATTCAACTCAAGTTGCGAGCATTTAGGAAATGCGTATGTTCAGTACCAATTATCATCTTACTAGATCTTCAACCTTTTGTCAGAAATCCACAAGTATCATTAAGTTAATTGATCGCATATTTCCTCCTGCTAAGTGCTGATAAATTATTTCACCAGCAGTATTTATAGAATTCGGCAAATTTATGCTTATATTACATTTCAATACATTTAAACCACTTTTATAGCTACATTGTAGCATTGGTCAAATTCCTCAATAATAACATGTTTAATTCGAGTCTATGGGCAAAGCAGTAATGGAAAAGCAGCCAAACCGGTGAGTCTTTCGGGCTGAAGTAAAATAATTCTCAAAAATTTAAGTTTAATAACATTAAGCATCCAATGAAACACAGGCAATTTGAATAAGAGTTGTGTGAGCAAAATGTGTGTTTTGGCAACACTTCCTAGAGCCATCAGGTACAAATTCTGTTTGTTTCGATAACAAAACAAGTTTTGAGTCTGATTTGGGTTAGTTTTTACTTGTCGGATGCATGTTTCGATGCATCCGCATACAGGATTGTACTGAAAAATCCACGACTTGTGACCAAAAATAAAAGGCAAACAGGCATCCGTTCCGAAAAACGTTCCATCATTCTGCTGGAGTTTTAAAATGAGTTTTCCAGATAAAATGCTCCAAATGTTTTTAAAACATTAAAAAAATTCAATGGTTTAAAATATAACTCGAGCATTCGCTAGCATTTCTTCTTAAATGGTACCAGTTCGAATGAAAATTGATTGTACATATACAAATGTCTGCTGCTTTCTACGATGTAAATATTTTTTTATTTCCACTAAAATATTTTACGCGTCCAACACTCTTCTGTCATCTACAGAAATCCCATATGTTATATTCAGTAAATAAGTTTATGCATCAAACAAAAATCCACTTAATCTTTTCTCCGTATCCTAACCAGAAATCCAAATGATGATTTTTCGCATGCGGCTATAAGTAGGATTGTAGGAAATGTGCTAATGTAAAGTTCAAATGAATCCGGCACACGTTCCTTCGCATGTTCGGATTTAAATTTAATAAGAAAGGTACTAAGATCATATTTTTAGCGTTGCAAGCAGAGCAGGATTATCGTCTTGAATAATTTTTTTAAAGAACTCTCTGATTTAAATGTGTTGAATTTAGGCAAATTAAAGACCGGAATTTATCAGGATGATTTTGATTTTTCATGTTTAAAGAGTTTTTAGTTCTACGGCTGCTTTAAATGCATTAAAGAACATGAACGCAAAGTACAGTGAAATCAGTCGAAACACCGGATCAAAGCAGCAATAGTGACAAAATGCATTGAAATGGCTTTAAAGCTGATCAGGGTTGACTAAATTGAATCGTATTGAATACATAATTTATTTTACGCAAAAATAACCAAAAGCCATCGAGGGCGTTTTAAATGTTTACTGCTTAAATTGTTGCTTTGTTTCGCTTGTTTTTCGACTATTGTTTGTAAAATAATTCCACTGTTTGCACAACGAGAGCGAGAGCGTTTCACAAACAAGAAAAATAACCCAATTGTAAAAAAATACCTATATGAAATTGATACGGTGCCAAATATATAACTTAGCACGCAAAATGCAGAATCTCCAAACAACTAAAATCAACAATCAATAAGGAAAAATACACAAAACACCGGTAGAATCAAATAAAAATAACCCAAACCGCTCGTGTTTGGATCTGCACAAGGCATAAAACAATGAACTTTCAACCTTTTGGATCAGTACGTCTCTGGCATCTCTTTCTCAGAACGCCTCAATTAAAAATAATCAAACTGAACCTCGGATTTTAGCACACGAATCGTGTATCTAAATATAAAAAGTAAAAGTGAAAATCAACTTCAGTTTTCAGTTAGTTGAATCGTGTGCTTCGCAGTTTAAACTTAGCGGTTGATCCGTTCGCGGTTTTACTACAGGTTTTGCTGCTTGACATCCCCATTCTGCGTGTTTGTGATAAATACTTTATCTAATTTGCAGTTTTTATTAACGCGAAAGTATATACGGTCAATAATTGTTTAAATAATGTGCTGAGAATAGCGGACAATTTAACGAGGTTGTTTCTACTCGCTTCTGTAGTCCATAGTGCAAATAGTTACTGGTTTTTGTCACCGGTTCTCTAGAAGATGAAACTGTAAGTTTTACTTATTAATGCTTTTGTTATTTGACTATCAAATGTTTGCTAAATTTTCCAGTAAGAAACCGTTCAATTATGGCAACATGTAATGCCAACACGTGTGGTTTCACGTTTTCTATTTCCTGTTTTCGTTCAGTTATTTAATTTTCTTTGTGCTTAAAGCCAATGGCGGCACGCGTAGGGAAATGCTATTTGGTGTTTTCTATATTTGTAGATTTCTTTGTTATATAATTTGAAAAATCCAGAAAATTTTAAAATAGAATTCTCAAAAAATTTCATTTGCGAACCAGTAACGCACGTATAATTAGCAATGATTTCACCTTGTAATATATACGCTCTCAAATCAATTTTTTGCAGTTTTTTCTAAACTGTTCTGTGCTAAATTTCCAAGGTGACCACCCAACATTTTTACAATGTTAATATTAATTTGTTCGGATTACGCTCTTAACTTATGGTTGGACGCTAGGCGTCGGTAACTGAGTGAATTTTCAGGATGCCTGTATATATCGCCATAAGAAACCTTTCGGGGCTCAATTAGTACTGAAAGTTTAATTGTTCAAATAGATCACCTAGCTTGAATTGGTACACAAAATGTTGATCTTTAAATTAGACTTGCTTATATGATGATTTGATGATGATTTCCTAATTTAAATCGTGAATATTCCAGCGGGTTTTGAAGAGCCTCCGGTTATAAAGTTTTATCTTTATTGTAGCTTAGTTTTTAAGGCGCTGAAACGCAAGTTAGTCGTATATTTGGTAGCCGGTAACGAAATTCTATTAGTGTTATTGTTTGCTTCCAGACTCAACATCATGCCGACCAAGCCGAAAAACAAGGCCAAGAATACGCACAATTCGAAGGAATCCCTTGACATAGAAGTGGGTTCGATTCACGAAGAACTGGAAGTACCCGTAAGTTGTTTTTAGTGTAAATAATAAGAAAAAATGCGCGCACTTGCGTGATTAATATGGACGTGATTTGCAGATGCTTATGTCCTGTTCGTTAGGTAATGTTTAGTTGTTGTTTATTCTCATTCTTAGACTGCAACTGTATCTAAGCAATTTATCGACGCAATATTAATATCTTTTTTGTTTTTAGCTCTATGTTTTCATGCTTCCAGGTGGCTTCCGAGTTGGTCTTCCGCAAAATCTGGAAAATCAAACGGTTTCACCATACAATTAAGAAACGGGATCTGCTTGATAGCCCGGAATTTCGGTGCTCAGTCAATGGCATGACTACATTTTGGAATATTTCCGTACGATTTTGGAAAGGTAAATTCTCATCCCATCTTAAAATGTTATTTCTCGAATGCATGCGGGATCGGCTAAAAGCTTTTATCCGCAACCATTCTATTTTAATGCAGCTGCTATTCGCAATTGCTTCTACTCATAATTGAATTCAAGTTTTTGGCCTGACCTTATCTGTTCGGTTCTTGATAGTCGCTTTACGTAACTCTCATTGATTATTGCGATAAGTAATTTAAATATCAGGTTGTTTCCAAGCGCAATCCTATGCCAAGATCCATTGCGTCATTATGGGTACGGTACCCAATCATTGATTAGCGCAATTAGATTGATCGCCTACTTTTCACCATGTCTGTTAGTAAGTCGCCAAATAAATTGCGAGATCATTAATTTTTTCCAATCAATTATTCATTAAAATCCATTGGTATTGCTTGATAGTTTGTAGCTGGCTGAAATCAGATGAAAAACAGCAATTGAGAGCTTTAAGGTTTCAATTAACCAGAGAAAATACTAGTGTCCACATCTAGAGCGCGAAGAAATGCGGCACACCTTGAAGAGAAATCTAACTTTCAACTACACGCAAAAATCGGCAATTATTGTCTTATCGACGAGCAATTTAAAGAAAACGCACAAGATTTGACAAAGTAAAAAGCGCCGACGAAAGGACCAAGGAACCAATTCAATAATGAAACTAATGAGTTTTTCGGGTTTTTAGTTAGTTAGTCGTTCTCATCTGCGAAGCGTCAAGAAGAAATTCTACCGAACGACGGCCTAAAAACCCGACAAACCCGAAAAACCCATTAGTTTCAAGGAACGGCCTCGAAAGTCTATCTCTTTTGATAATTCAATAATGACTCGGACGCACCGACATTTCAATGGAAAACATCAGTTGTTATCAATTGAATTGGGATGGACATAAATTTGTCGATATCACTGGCATTGGAACATCTGGAAAGTCCAAAACTCCAAGCCTTAAACAAATAAATAACCGGCTTAAGCTATTGACAGTCAATAAATTGGACTATTTACACTCTAGGGATTATTCCATTGATAAAAGAGCGTGAGAAGTCGAAATAGATGAGACTTAAAACAGAAATGCGCATTAATTCGCGATAAAACACACAAAAAGTGATCTCAACTCATGCGAAATAAATCGACTTAAAAACGCTTCACGCCGGTACTTAAGCTGTGAAACTTGCAGGTGCAAATGGCAAGAAAGTAACCAACCCTTTAGTTATCTGCTTGAATCTAACTGGATCCGAAACGGAAGAAACTGGACAGGCGAGAGTCCGGTTCCAGTTTGGTGTCTGGAACGCGCATATTAAGCATTGGGAATGCTGCCCTATTTCCAGTGTGGTTCTCAACTTGCAAAACACCAAAGAGCTCTTATCCGTCGGTTACAAGAGCTTAGGAGTTATGGAAAGGCACATAGATCCAGGTGGGATGCTGTTCATTTTCCAGCTTAGGGGACAGTCATAAACTAATAAATTTCTGTTTAATGTTTGCAGACAAAGACGTGAAAATAATGGTGAAAATCCAAATCATCCAAAGCGACGAAGAGGTGCACAGCCTGTCGCAAGACATGGCGCGACTGATGGTGAATGAAGAGAGCAAAGACACACTCATCGAGTGCTACTGTGATTCAGAAAACAAGGACTGCGAAAAAACGCCCTTGATAGTGCATAGCTGGATAATCCGGACAAGGAGCGACAAGTTAGCCACAAGAATGGAAGAGCAGAGTGATGGTAAAAATAAGGTAAGTTCGCGGCGATTCTCCAAGAACAAACACTCAAACAGCTTTTCCAGGGCATGAAATATCTCCTGTGTCTCCCAGAATATTCTTACGGTGTGGTGAATGAACTTGTCCGGTATATTTACACGGACAAGGTGGACTGTGCCGATAAATACGCTGCTAAACTCCTGCCAATTAGCATCGTTTATCACCTGCAAGGTAAGAATCCAATCCTTTGAGTCCGAGATTAAAGAATAATCGAAATCTTCTAGGTCTGAAGGGCCTTTGCGAAAGGCATTTGATAGAAAGTCTGACGCCCGCCAATGTGGCAAACATTCTTTTACTAGCCGACCAATGCCGATGTGAAAATCTCAGAAAAGCCGCGTTACACTATTGCGAAGGTTCTGATGAAATAAAAGGAAACGTTCACATGGGTAAGGCAGATTTTGTAATGTTGTGAGACACCCATAGTCAGCATTTACGGGCACTTTTAGCTGGCAAAACACTGGCGTGGAGAGTGATGGAAATGGTTAATCCTGATCTTTTCATGGAAGCTTGCGAAAGTATAGGAAGCTCATCTAGCAATTTAGACAGCCCGGGAACCCCAGGAGGGTCCTGGAGTGATTAAGCTGAAAACCCGTATTATTAGTCTTAAGGTTCCAGTAAAGTACAAATATTTTTTTTATTTCAATACCAGTTAAGTTACTTGACAGATTATATTGAACTCACTGAAATGTTCACATGGCCGAATCTCTCTTGGGGTCACTTGTGTCTACCTCACATCAGGAATGCCAGAATCATAGAGAAAATTTTAAACTGTAAACCAACTTAGGAAATCCCTAGTTGCTAACCGTTGTCGTAAGCGTAGTGTATTTTTGACTCGATAAATGTTATGTTTATGCAACGTATTGTATGGTTGCCTCATTTTACTGCATTTCTACCCATGTTTTTTATGACTATTCATTGCTTGTTGGCATTATCGCAAGTAGTTCTAATTAACTTATTTAACATAGGGAGATATATTTATATTAAATATATTATAGAAAAAAACAGCTTTTTATTAAACAACGAAAACATCAATAGTTCTATTCCATATGCTCGTGTTGGGCATGCTGTTCCGATTCCCGCCAGTTTCTCTGTATTGTTTCCACCATCCACTTCCACACCCTAGATTTAGAGAAATAATAACAGGAACAAACCACGATAAACAGCCATGAAAGTATCAGAAACATATCGGAGTCTTTGGATGGCGAGCTAACGACGGGACCTGCAAAGTCCGACGATGTAACGACAGAATTGGGTATCGGGATCAAGTTGGTATTCTTCGCAATAAAACTGATGAAAGCCTCTAAGTTATATTCGGAGCCATTGTACCGAATCACGGACCTCCCGTTGTGAAATAGCAGCAATGTGGGCACTCCGACGATCCCGTTCTGAGTGTTAAACAAGTGGTAATGCATAGCATTAATTGCGACCAGTTTTATGTCGGTAAACGCTCTGGCCAACGCGTTAAAGTGAGGCGCTGCCATGCTGGAAAACGGGCAGTTCTTGGAATAGAAGAGCACAGCAATACAGGGCGCAGCAACATTTCGGCTTGCAGATTTGGGGCCAGGCATCAGGAGCTTGATCAGTTCGGTATCGTTCACAAGCTGCACAACAGGCTCAGTGGGCACCTGGAAACATTTGAAAATATTTCCAGTCTCATTCTCGGGATTAGTAGTTGAATTGCTGGACTCTTCGATGGTCACATTAGAGCTTTGACTTGCCGAATTGTTTATTTCAGAAAGAGCATCGGATAGCGGTTCGGCGAAAACGGGCTCGTAGTTTTCTTTGAGGATGTTTTCGCTTTGGGAATTGGTATCATCTTCGTTGTGAAGATCGGTTTCAGTTGCATGGGAACCTAAAAAATATGATTACGATAACGGACAGACATTATTGTTAGTGGATGTTTCATTTTAAGGTTCTATTTTCTTTATTCTTCATGACTAGTTGATGGGGTGGATTTTGTTCGACGGCTGCAGATGATCAACAATTTCTCGCCAAATAAAGGTCTTTGAAAATAGACGAAAACCCCAATGTTTGAGGATGGAATTTCGTCCTTATTATTTTTTTATGAGCAAGTAAAGTAAAACACCATCGCGACCCAATTAGACTTACCTATGATTAGAAGTGATAACAGGACAAGGGGCTGCATGTACGCTTTGTTTTTGCGGAATTTAATATTGATCATTCTCCGGATATTCTATTAAAAAGTTTTTTGTTATTGTTTTCATTTGTATTAACCCCAACTTCATTTTTGTAGGTTTAAAACCGATACATGTCAAATTGTAAATTGCATAATTGCTCGGGACGATGAGGCAACGGTGCTTTAAAGGCCTTTGCTACGTTACTCTACGATTTTCCGATCGATTTTAAATTTCAGTTTGTATTTGTAATGTTTTTTTACGATTTCACCCTGGCTGTCTTAAGCAAGTTGCTTGAATAAAAAGAATGTTTTCAATAATAAACTTTAAAGTGCGCGCTTTTGTTCACCTTTCTTACTGGCGGGAAAATGGGTTTTGATTAATTTTAATTTTAATTACTATTTTTATGTTTTTCACTGGCTGGATGGTGAAAACTAAATAATATTTAAAACCAGAGAAACCCAGTGTCTGAAAGGCTCGGCACTCACTAAAGCGATAAATGAAAACAACGCGTTTCTAAGCAAAAATTAAGATACGCAATTTCGGGTACATTTTTAGCAAAAAATGTTCCAGTTAATTCATTGCTACTTGAATTTTAGTTAGAGTTTTTCATATTTTCTAACATTTTACACTGTCGGTCTAAAAAAAGCGCTTTAAATAGGAATAATTGGTTGTTGAATGCACCTTTTGCAATTCAACTTAATAATCTTCTTCGCATGAATAGGAAAAAAGCACCTTAGAATGATGATTCGTAATGCAAAATCAATCGGCAGACATTCGTTGGTAATAAGGAAACCTGTTTAGCTCCTAATTAATAATTGTATCCAGCAGATTGAGCTTAAAGATGAAAAGTAGAACCATTATCTAGAAATACGTAAATGGAAGTAGCCCAATTTTAAATGTTAATTAAAAACAGTTAATGCTTGCACCATTAACTTAACGCAACAACGTTTGTGATCTATATTAGATAAACGCGGATTTTCTTAGAAAATTAGGACGGAAATTCCACTGACTTCAATTCCTTATCGGCCAACACGATACGGGGAATGTTTCTTTAACCACAAGCATGTATCTAATGATACTTAAACATTCATCTCCAGCGACAGAATACAATATTCATCATGTCGTCCCCTGTATATATTTAGTATGGGCTTCGTACCCGACCATCGCTAAAGACTGGATTTTGACTTCGCTCATGGTCTCAGTCGATCGAGCTTCGCTAGTATCTACTGTTACTTTTCAACCGGTTTTCAATTTTCCATGAATTATCGCATTTTGGTAACAAATAAACATAAACATTCCCCATAATAACCAAACCGGGTTATCGGTTCGGAAAATAATTAATAACATTATTCAATCAGAAGGCGCACTTGATTGAACTCGCTTAAGTTGTGCAGTGAAGATTTTTCGTCACCAAGTTTAACGGCCAAATGAATCGGGGTAAGTAAATTGACAAATTGATCTTGTTTTTGAGACCTACACTTTATTTATTCGCCAATGTGTTTTATGTCGCTGATGAGTTTTCCTGAGGAAAATCCAGGATTTTAATCACAGACTGAACCTTAGAGGATGAGGCTCAAAACCGGCCTTGCGGGAGCCTGAGATAAACACATTTTTTACCCTTTGACGGCCGAACTTTTATTTTTCTCTTTCCTCATTATCTTGTAAACAAATATTGGCATTCAGTTTGTGATAATTTGCAGTTTAATAACGATTGCGTTAAGTATTTCTATATAAAAAACTTGTCACCACGACCTCAGTTAAATGCCTAAAGAAAGTTAAATTAGGTACTAAATATAATATTTTAATACGAGAAAGTGATTTAAATGGCGTTTAAATAACGCGTTTAGTATGATATTAGTTCGCCTTATAAATAGTTCATTTACTAACAACTTTTGTTAATGGAGTTTTTGGTGGAAACGCTGGTATGTAGACTAATTCGCGTTTTGCTCTCCTAAGGAGCGTAGCAAAAGTCTAAGATCGAGGAAAGCTAAAGAACATTTCGTTAACAGAGTTTTGCTGCAAAAAGACAATAGAAACTATCTGTTTGTTGCAAACTTTTAAACTAATTTTTAAATCTAAAAACGATTCAGAAAAATTCGAAATGAAGCGCCGGAGAAGAAAGGACAACTTACGTCTGCACAACAGACACCAAAAAACATCAATTTTTATATACACAAATGATTTATAAATTAAACTATTAAACAAATTGGTAAATAAACTATTGGAAGACTTTGAAGCGTTGTTTAAATTGTAGTTCTGGCGGAAGCAGCCTTTAGACGTACTTGATATTTTCACTTGGTTCTGGTAAAGTCGAAAAACCAGCAAAATACGTGATAAGGAATTGACCACTAGATATTTGGAATTTTAAAGTAGGTGTTTTATTTGACTCCAATGTCGCCCTCGTACCGATTTGTTAGAATTTTATGTCAAGAACGAGGTAAAAGTCTTAAATTTCCTACCAAGATATGTTTTTATTTTAATTGATAAATTGGCCGTGAAAATTGGGAAAAATTCAAAAGCGAGTAAAAGAGATTTAACGCATAATTTCAAAATACAAAAACACGTTGTTTTTGCGAGTTAATTTCGCGATTTTTTTCGGAGTAAAAACAAACGTGTGTTTTTTAAAATTGACCATTTTTTTAAACTAAAAATATTGAAAATAATGCAAAACGTTGGAAATTATATAAATCAAGTCCTGCTAATCTAGTAAAATAAAGTGTTTTTAAGGGAGTGTGAGTGTGTACCTTGACCTGATATTAATAAATCAATGAAATATTTAATATTGATATAAAATTCCAAAATCAAGTTTAGAACATCTATTCTTCGGTCCAAGCTAAGGTCGACCGGTCGAATTCAAATCGTTAAACTTTATCTGAACACATTCGTTGGGAAAATTAATTAAAAAAGTTGCGTGCTAAGCCTGACTTGAAGCAATTTAAAAAGAATTATCTGACAATGAACCTAAAACTACGTTCTAAATTTAGTACCGAAAGATAAAAACCGTCAATAAATGAACAGCAGATGAACAATTAAAGAACAACGCAATTTGACGAACTGTTATGTCGATTTGGAAATAAACAAAATCACAATTATACGGTTTCATTGCATATTCATGCAATAAGAGAATAGGTGAGATAATGCGCTCTTTACATAACGCTATAGGAAAATATTCAGTTTTTATGGCAATTAATTAAGGTAAGTTAATTCCAAGATGGTTTTTTGTGGCCGCAGTTTTCCTATTTGTCTTGAAAAGAAACTCCGTTGTGTTGTGTATTCTTCGGAAATAATATTAAGTGCCAAAGATCTAAATGCATGATGCAGAGAAGTTCGATTTGCAGATAAACCGGTTGTTTCATCTCGGGAGGCAGAAAAAAGTGGTCTTGGAACATAGCAAAAAATTCTATGAATGTTCCATCATCACAGCGGCGAAAATTGTATGTTTGCAACACCTTTCTTTCAGTTCCCCGAAAAATAACTTGCCTGAAACCGAACACTATTTACACAGTGCCAAGGTAAATTTGCAATGTAAATGTAAAACAATCTGCTAAAGTATTGTGCCTTTGGTTCACTAACCCACTGAGCCAATGTCCCAATTTTTCCATGCATAAACAATGAAAGGCAAAACGGAACGTATCAGGTGAGAGTATCAGTTTCCTCCGGTGTCTTTTACCCAGAAAATGACACATAAAAATCTAGTTTAGTTCTATAGAAAGTCGACGAAGTGCTTCGAAAAGTAACCTCCAGTTAAGTATCAGCCAGCAAAGTTGGCAAATGTGTGGTGTTTTGCCCGTGTGATCTTCGTGTGGTTGTTGACAGAATTTTCTTCAAGTGGCCGAACCGATCTTTGTAGCTTGATAATTTTCAATTGGTTAACTTGGGATGAGAGTTTTCAGCAAAAAGTGCTGGAAATTGCGGCTTTCAGAAAAAATCTTCTGAGTTAAACGTTGAAGGCGGAATTCAATTTTCTGGAAACCCTGCTAAATAACTCCAAGGTTTTTTCTGAAGACGACAACAGGAGGAGCTCCAATGTCTTTCAAATGCGCACAATGTGAAATCATATAAAAATCCTGTCAGTTTCCCCAAACGAATTTAATAATAATAATAATTAATAATCAGGCACACAGGCACGAAATTGAAACAAGCAATTAAAATTGAAATCAGCAGATATCGGAAAATCCGGATGTTCATAGTGCAGACATCACGTAATATTACGTCTGAAGTAGGGTTTCCAACAATCGTTCTGGTTTTCCGGTGATTAAAAAATTTGACTTTAAAATTCGATAAGCGTTGGTGTCTTACTGGTTTACCACAAACATAATAGTTGCCTCGTCAGGTCAGGGCTATTAAAGTTTACAATATGGTTTGTGAAACGAGCAATTCATTCATGGCGGGTATTTTCCGACTTTGGTTCAGCGAAATCGGGCAAGTTCAAGCGCAAAACCCGAAGGAAAATGAACAGTTTAATTGTTACTAAAAAACGAAATTCTCCACCAAAACACACCAACAAATGCGTCTAATTAGCGGCTGGGTTGTTAAAGTTTCCGGTAGTCGACGCAATAACTACTTTTTCTGCACTAGTTGAGCGTATTTTTTAACGAAAAAAAAATCATTGAGTGTAATTCCCAAAATTGTAATCATTGGGAAAGCGGCTTCTTCAAACGTAACACTAGAAACTAGTCAGGGTTTGAGTATTCTTGTTGAGGAAATGAAAAAATTGTTAAGGACAACAGGGAAAATTAATTGCAACATTAAAGCGCACACAGAGTAGAACAGTGCACCATAAAGAAAGAAGAAATAGGGACATATTTTAAATCAGGAGAAAAATTCTTGACTTAAAAAAGCCCTGGAAGAATGAGAAAATCATGTTAAAAGCTGCTATGGTAACAGTGACAACCCGGAAGTTGAGGAAGCAAAAAAGATGAAGAGCTTTGATGAAGAACCGTGATTTATTGAACTAATGAAGCTCCATTTTTTGTGTTGAAAACGCAGCGTTTTTCCGCCCGAAAAAGTTGCGTGTGTGCTGCATAAGAACTAATATCTTTTCGCATAATCTAATATAATTGGATCTCATAAACTGGAAATTCTCCCCTAAAAACCCTCGTCTGATTTTTTGACCATTTAGCGGATAATTCAACAACAGTAATAATCTATATTTGCTCTCACTTTTCACGCTTCACCGTCGTCGCTCATTCTCAGTCGACTATTACCATTGTCTGCACATTTACCGAAGAAAAAACCGCATTAGAATTTAAATGATTTCCAAATGGCATCATTTCCCGAGGCTTTTTAATGTGCGGCAGAAGTTTCCAGTTGATTTCCCTTCATTCATCAGCTGGTGAAAATGAAAAAGTGTTTCCTTCTCTTGGTGTTGTGCTGTTCAATTATTCCCTTTAGAGGAGACAGGCGCGGGTACAAGTTTTACCACAACGAACGAATCTTGAATGTTGCCCGGGAAAGTCCAGGGGTTTTGAATTGGTCAAGTAAGTGCGCTTTTTCTACGCACAAATGTGGGTTTGTTGCGTGAAAATATCTCGCTCTATCTAAAACTTGTGTCGTTAACCTACTTGTTCACCTGCTGGGCAATAAAACATATTTTTATTTAGGGACCCAATGGATTTGTATGGTGTTGGGGATTTGCTCAATAATCCCTCAACCAGCTCAAGCGGATACTCCCAACTTCAAGACCATTTACCAGTGGAACCAATTGGAGTTCGACTATGAATCCCTATATCAACGACAAATCGATATTGATTCGGGAGTTTTCACTCCTGGAGTCATCGCACCCATTGATGTTGATGTCTATTATGCTCGTAGGTTTATTTTTTCTAGATTTTCACTTTTAATTGAGATTTTAAAGCTTAATTTGCATCATAAAACAATAGCAGTCAAGCAAAGAAACCAAGTCTTCGTGACAATACCAAAATTCGTTGAGGGAATACCCGCAACTTTGGGCACCGTAACCAATAGAACCTACGAAGGAAACCCACTGATCAAACCATATCCGGACTGGCAGTGGCATAGAAACCCCGAAGGATGCCACACTGATAGAATAGTGTCGGTATTTCGAGTAAAGGTACTGATAACTATCAAAAAAGTTTCCAGTTTAATTAAAAATCTGTTAAATTTTAGATTGATGAATGTGGACGTTTATGGGTGCTGGACACCGGAAAAGTCGGCGAAAAAGTAATCTGCCGCCCTCAAATCCTGTGCTTCGATTTAAGCACGGTAAGTAACACCAATTATCCGTTATCTGACCTTAAAAACTGCCAAAAAATCGGCAAACTGTGACCAATGTGGGCATTCGCATGTCGCGCTAATGAGATAAAAGGTTTTTGTCAACGGTTGCATGCGCTATTGTTTGCAGCTCTTTCATCAAAACCGCTAATTTTAACATTTGGATCTACATGCCTGCGTTCATTTGTTGTGAATGGAAATTTTTTCCTGAAAGGGTCGTTCCCATGAACACACAATTTTGATTTTGTCGATTCGGAACTTATCAACTTGTGGTCTAAACACAGAAAGGAGGAAGAGTTTTTCAAAATAATGCAATTTTCTGATGATGAAAGCAGGGCCTTGAAATGGCAAATTGCTGAACCTGCGGAAAGTGCCGTTTCGATACTGCAGGCCTAAAGAGTGTCGGAAAATTATCAATGGCAAGTCATTAGTCAAATTAAGAACAAACGTGAGCAATCGGTTCCACCGACCAGACTTCCACTACAACCAGCTTTGTTTGCACTTGAATGCACCCAGTTTTTTCACTAAAAGCTTCGGGGATTAAGAAACGAATGAAAATTTGCTTAGTAGGTACTGGGTTGAATCTGTTTTATTTCCTGAAAATGACCGAAGTTCCGATGCGTTTTACAGCAGGAAAATTGTGGTAGTTCGGCCATGAAAGACTTGACAATGGTGAATTAATTTGAAAGTATTTTTCCAGAAGCAAATCCTGCACAGACATCTGCTCCCTAACGATGTAGTGTCTAATCACTACCTCCTAGTCACTCCGGAAGTCGATGTCCGAGATCCCAACTCTGGATGCAGGGACACTTTCGTTTACATTGCCGATGTTTTAGGATTTTCGCTCTTGGTCTACGACGTGGCCCACGACAAGTCCTGGAGGATCCAGGACAAGACCTTCTATCCATATCCCAGCCACGGGACCTACACGATTGCAGGTTCGTATTGAGTCGCAATGCATCGGATCCATTCAAAGTCTGTCCATTCCAGGAGAAAGTTTCGATTTGATGGATGGCCTCTTGGGACTGGCGTTGTCTCCTCATTATCCCGGTCAGGACAGGATTCTGTTTTACCATGCCATGTCAAGTCCAACGGAGAACTGGGTTTATACATCGCATTTGCGGAACAGCTCGATATTTGAACATGATGCGGCTGCAGCGCCCCAGATATTTAATGTAAGTTGTCGCTATTATTTGCGTCAAATCTGGAAAAGGTCTGGAAAAGGTCTGGAAAAGCGCAAGGTAATAGTTATGGAAAAAGTGGCCCTTGAGGGCAAAAAATGAGAAATAGTGGTCCAATTTCCATTTCAAAAGCCAAAAGATTCATGAAGCTTCAGCAAATTGTAGGATGAAGATAACTTCTAACTAAATTAAACTAGTTCTTCCGTTGTTTTGCTTCTAACTTGCCTTTATCTCCAATTGTTTCGCGCCGAACAGTTGTCTCATTAAAATCTCGTTCTGATGAGCAGATTTTCGTCTCTTTCGCCAGTTGAATCGTCAGTCTCCAATAAAACACCAAAATCGTTTTAACCATCTCAAATAAAGTCTGTTTGGGTTTTCCAGACTTTTGCCAATCAGAGAAGTACCCAAACAGCAGCTGAAGCCATCGACAAAGATGGCGTGATGTTGTTCGGCCTGATGAAAGATACTCAAATAATGTGTTGGAACACCAGGACCGAATACGGACGGAAGAACTTTGACGTGGTGGCAGTTAATCCGGAAACTTTACAATTTCCCAGTGGCGTGAAGGTGAACACTTAATCTATACATATTTTCCAGACATTTGGTTGGTATCCATTTTTCTCACCAACTCCCACTGATATATCGTAGATAATTCGGAACAAAAAAGGCGAACAAGAACTATGGATTCTGACGTCCAGGTTCCAGAAAGTCGCCAATGGCTCTTTAAACCCCAAAGAGCCGAATTTCCGAATCCTGGCCGGAAAAGTGGAGGATATTTTATATGGAACCAAATGCCGCTCCAAACAAACTCACCATAATCAAGTGACTGGAAGTTTTGGAGGCGGATATGGGCTGTACAAGCCAAAGATTTGAGTGTTTAGTGCCATGTTATGTAGTCATTTAGGTCCTTCTTAACCTAGACTAGGGAACAATGAGTCTTCGGATTCACAGTATTTCTGCATTCAAAACTCGCAAGGTAAATTGCTCTTCTGCATGCTAGTCACTATTAGCCAAATGCCAAGAGGAAGTCATTTTTGTGTGTGTTATGTTCTTCATTCGAGTTGGATCTGAACTTTTGATATTATAGGCTTTTTAAGCTAGTACGTAGGTATACTTTAACTGTTCAGTCAGGACCTGATTTCATATGAATTTATTGTACAAAGTAATTTATTTTACGCCCATAGGAGTTTAAGGAGCAGGAGTTTATTCGTGTAATTGAGATGAATAAATTTACTAAAGCATAAATTTACGGCAACAATTTGTCTCTTATCATCTCGGTGTCGATGATTGTCCTATGAATTGAAACAAATTATTAGTTTGTTTGCATTATGTTCTTTAGTCCTACCGATGATTATTATTCAACTGCTTATGAAATATTGTAACAAATAATGCCTTAAAATGCCCTGGAGTAAAAATCGACTTTCTCATCTAGACTATTAGAAAATTATCTGACTTACTCATAATTAACGAAGAAAGCTATATGAACCATTACTGAATAAATGCATAAAATTAAGCGAGAATATGAAAGTTTCTGCACATGTTCCCGAAAAATTAGCCAAGTGTGCGCCTTCAACGTATTAATGAGACAAATTTGTCTTGAAGCTGAAACAAAGCCGGCGCGTGTGTGAAGGTGATTGTAAAATGAGTAATAAAAGTTCCAATAAATGGATTGCAAAATTCAATAAAATCGATCAACTAGTTCCTTCACTTTAAATTAGTTGGTGATTTAATGTTAATTGGATCGAATGTGCATGACTTTGAAGAACAACTTTTGTCCACAATGTCAAGGTTTCACAACGATCATGCAAAATGCGAAAATTGAGAATTAATGCGAGTCTTTAGAACCGCTCTTATTTGCTGGCTCCTATTTAGAGAACCGCTTGAGCTATAAAGATATAGTTTCCATGGCGAGATAGAGCGTTTAATCGGCTACTTTTTTGTACTAAACATCGTTTTAGAAATATTTCTAATTTTTACGCAAAATGCGAAAATTCAGGATTAATGCGAGTCTAGAACCGCTCTTATTCGTTGGCTCTTAGTTAGAGTACCGGACGAGCTACAAAGCTCTAGTTTTGATCGGGAAATAGAGCATTAGCTGTTTACTTTTTTCTATACTTAGCATCATGTTAGAAACTTTTCGAGTTTACGCAAAATACAATACATTCAGAATTAATGCGAGTCCTTAGAACAGCTCTTATTTGTTGACTCCTATGTAGAGAACCGGTTGAGCTATAAAAAGCTAGTTTCCATGGCGAGATAGAGCGTTAAATTGCGTACATTTTTGTACCAAATATTATCTTAGAAATGTTTCTAGTCTTGACGCAAAACGCGAAAATTCAATATTAATGCGAGTCTAGAACCGCTCTTATTCGTTGGCTCGTTAGAGAACAACTTTTTGGATGATTTTTTAAATGAGGAGTCAATTGGCAGGAACAAAGTGTGCTTGAACAATCCAGACCAGAATCGCTCGTGCCCCGATTTCTTGTTTCAATGCCATAATGAGATTGCAAGCAGTGGGCCAAAGTAACAACTTTTTTGCATAACCCATACCCTCTGGCTTAGCCGATTCTAATTAAATAAAGTAATGAAAGTTCGAATGGTATCAGAAACCGTATTGGCTAATTGGAATCTCCGAGCTCCCACCTTCAAGCTGATTAGACACGAGCCATTACATTAACCCGATGTATTTATATGTGAAACCATTTACTTTTGGGCCGTCGCATTTCCAAATCGAAACCGAATGTTTGCCGAGATATAGACAAAATTATCAGCTTAAACTACACAAGCTTGTCATTTTCTTTTTCGCATTAAGGCGGCAGACCGCGAAATTCAAACCGCAAATATCTCTCAATGGATTTTCGTTGAAATTTCGGCGTTTTTGTTCTTTTTTAGCGCGTAATTTCTTCAGCGAATTCTCCTGGTGCGTGGTCTCAGTAGGTTTCAGTACCCGAACCACCAATCTTGGTTTAAATCTACTCTATAGGTTCGGATCGGTTAGTGATTTTTTTAAGGATTTTGCCAGTGATTTGGATACTTTTTTCAGCTATGGTAAGTATGTAGAGACTTTAAGGCAGAAACAGCCAACTAAGGCCTTACATGGACAGCTTGGCAGAAACTAGTACTTCAAAGCCACTTTTTTGAATGAAAAGGTTTTCATTTACCAAATCAAAAGTTTTCAACTGATTAACAGATTTTCAAACTATTTGCTTCCAAACTGGCTCATTGCCAGGGAAGAGAAACAGTTGTTGAAACCTATGAAGCAAAAAACTTGCCCTCATGTCAAGTGATTAATATCGTATCAACATCTGTAAAGCGATATATACGCTGAAACAATTAAATTCTCAAACGAAAAAAATCAGTTAGTTGCTTATTTTCGTCACTCTCGTTTGCAAATCGAAAAATTAACTTTGAATGCTACTGGTTGCACTATGAGCACTTGTAATTGCACGCTGAATGGAAAATCTAAAAAATACAAAAACGTTTGTGCGAAATTGCCTTAAAACCATAAGCAAACAAAAATTGATTGAATGCACTCGTTATTGTTGGTTAATGCAATTGTTCCGGTTACATTTTTCCATCTAATGACATTTGTATAAGTAAAATGACACACTTGGCTTGAAGAAAATGGTATAACGAATTTTGTTAGGAAAAATACCACAGAAAATCGGGTTTAGTTAAGGCTCAGAAATCGGGCAAAATGGTATGCAACAATGGGCTTTCCATTTAAGCTTTGAATAAGGCGAAATTAAAGCTTTCTAATAAATGAGTTTTGAACATTTCCAACTTGGAAAGCTCTTTGAAATATCCACCGGAGAAAAAGAATCGCAAAAGGAAACATAATTAACCATCTATGAAATGATCGAGCAAGAAAACAACTGCGAAAAAGTAGTGCGATTATGAAATTGCAAAGTCACTATTTTTTAGATGCCTCAATGCAACCGACCACAAACAAATTGTTTATTCATTTACATCTGATTTATTACTTGATTGTTTATGCGTCTGCTTGGATTTACACCGGTTGCTTTCTATCTTCTATGTACTTCAGTAATTATTTAAGGGCCTAATTGAATGCAACTGGTAAATTGTGCTTGATTCAAGCAACTTAAACAGCTTTGGAAGTTTCGCACATGGAGAAGAAGGATCTTCTGTACGGTGAGTAAATTGCTGGAGAAATGCAACCAATTTCGAATTACCATGTAATTTTCTTTTAACAAAAGGAAAAATTCCATCACTTCCAGAATTTAATAATGAAAGTGATTGAAATTCAGTGAAAAAGTGCATATAGAATGACTAACTCCATCGCCATGTATCAAGTGTTTCTTTGTTCTACTCGTTAATTTAATGTCGCGTTAAATAACGATTTTTTCAAACCTCTTATAAGTACTTTGTTATATAAAAGGCTTTTTCTGGCGGATTTGACTTGTTCTCTACTGTTAGCTAGTTATTGTGGCTAAATGCGACCCGAATTTAATTAATTGACCTGAATTGGCCAACGGAAACGTACATGGTTTTAACAAAATAAATGCTGTTATCGAATTTAATGTTAAAAAAACGGCGCGATTTATAAAGATTTGTACAAATTGCTGTTTGTGCAAGCAGCCCAAACCAAGCAAGTGCAGGCGATGTTGAAATTTAGCAAGTAAGAACAGAAGGAAAAAGAGAAAACACAAATTTACTGAAGACGCCAAACGGCATTATCAAGCAGAGATCAATTAATTAATAAAAGAACATGCAACTTCGGTGTTTACATTACGGTGCACACTTTTGCACTTAGCAATCTGTTGACACTGTTTCGCTTGAGATGCTGCACCAAATTAGGTCGATTTTTCAGATTGTAACTGTGTGATTAACGCAGCAAATATTTGAGTATTTTAGCATACAAATTCTTGTCCATAATGATAATGAATAAAATACTAATAAGTTTCAGCACAAAACGGAAAATAGTGAAATTTTCAAAGATTTAATGTCCGCGAAAGTCGAAGAACACCCGAAGGAAGTGGAAGAAAAATAGCCAATAATAACATTGTTGTTGTATAGCTGTGATCATTTGTCTTATAAGAATCTAAGACTTCTAAGTTTCTAAAGTAATTTGGTTGGAATGCTGCCATTACAATAAAAAATCGACATTCCTCTTTAACTCTCCTAACAGATGGGAAATTATATAAAGAATAGGCATGTAATCTTGCGACCATAAAAGCGACTATACGACAGCAGTCCTTTATAGTGAACAAGAAGTAAAAGAGTGGAAGAAATTGGTGTTTTCATAGAAATTAATGCGCGAGAGAGTGGAATATCCTTTATTGAAAACTAATAGAATTTAATTATTTATTTCATGTTAGAAAATGCGTGCCAACTTCACATTAGTACAAGCACAAAGAGAGTTAAGGCTTCCGGGTTTAATGGTCAGCCGTGTGCTACCAGACACTAAAAATGGTATAAAATTGCATTACAAAAAATAATTAACCAAATAAATCTTGACCGAAAAGTTGAAAATCTGAAAAGTGGCCGAAATTGAGGGCAGGTTTTTCAACATTTTCAGCGTTCGCCTGTTTAAAGCTGCTTCCTGCAGCGTCTGTTGTTAAAACTTTTCATGTTTATTCAAGCTTTTTACAGTTCGAAATGTGCCAGTTTGTGGGTGGCCAAATGTGCAAACTTCAGGTCATAAATAATAGAATGTACTGAAATATTCTTTCACCCGTTCGAACGTTCAAGCCACGGCCGTTACTGACATAGATACATCAAACCGGCAAAAATGATTGCAAATTTCAGTTTGATCGGTCCAATTTCGAGCCGATTGCTAATTAATGGGGGCCGATTATGTAAACAGTATTAATAATTTAAATAGCCGTTTCACTATGCGTTCTGATTGGCCTGAAATATCAGAAACACTCCACACGATGTTTCTTATATCATCAGTCTGGTTAGGAAAATTGGGGATTTTGCCAATTAAATGAGCCTAAAGGGGAAATGATATCCCGAGTTTTAAACTTCCATGATTGTTTCAGATATCCATTTGAAAATGCCGTTCAAATAGAACGCCATGAAAATTCCGAAATGGCGGTGGATAACTGGTTCCAAAACTGGCATCAGCCATTTGTCTCCATCCCTTATTCCCATCCGCTTAACTATACCAGGAACCATGAAGATTATTCACGTAAGTTTGTTGAACTTCTAAAATAAAAAAACATAAAATTTCAATTTGTTCTAGATGATAAGTCCCTAAGCCCTGTGCGACTTCTGCCGGTATTAATGTCATTAAATGTGTTAAAGCCCGAAAGGAAAAGCTCACGAAATAAACATCAGTATTCCAACACGTTTTTCAAAGTAGAACCAGACTTAAAAGAACCGTATCGACACTATCAGGATAACGAAGAGTCCAGCGGAGATCGGTAAATTTAAGTGAAACCAAAATACAAACTAAGTAAAATGATCAAAAGAATCAAGAGTTTTGTCACCTGTAATCGTAATTGCAAAAAGTCTTGCATTTTTGTTCGATGACATCCAAAATCCCGAAAAACTCGACAAATAATTGAACTTACTTGGAGTTCTTATCCCAATAGATTCTCCAGCAAATACCATCCCAATCCTTTGGGGTTCCCAGACCCATTTCATGGGAGAGCAAACGACGACCAAAAAAACCAAACCTATGAAGAAGAACATTATTTGAGGCCCTTGGAAGTGACTGGCCCCTTTAAAACTTGGTACAGATGGAAAACCATTGACTTTGCCTACCCGTCGTCTTGGGATAGAGCGAGGGCGATTGTAAAGGGCGATTACATCGAGGAAAACAACTTACCCTTAGGTAAGAATCAGCGGGTTATACCGCAATGGCCAAGCCTGATGTTGTAAGAGGCAGAAAATCAAAATTTTGCGCATTAATAAAATTTCTTTTTTTGTTGGCCAACGCTTCCTCAATTGCGCGCATTGATTTATGGCATTATTCCGCGTAAATCAACCAAATACATATTGATTGCTAATTTATGGCCGATTTGTAACTGGATTTCCGAAAACTGTATCTCGGTTTCTACTGTTTACCAATTTATATACGATTTATTACGATTTTATGGTAATTTGTTATTAATATTCACTTAAAAATCTGCCTTGAGTAAGTACAACTATAAATTAACTTAATAAGACACGAAACGGCAATAAAATTAATTTTGCAGGTATAGAAGTGTACAAAAACCGAGTGTTTATTTCGCTGCCTAAATGGAAAAAAGGAGTTCCAGTGACTTTGGCCCAACTGCCCAGAGTCCCCAAAGAAGAATCTCCGGCTCTGATACCGTTCCCAAATTGGGACTGGCATTCTGAAAGTGAGTTCCTACTCAGATCCTTAAAAACTTGAAAATTAAGAGAGTCAATCTGACTATCAATTACTGTCTGGGTTATACTGTGTATTAAGACACTTGTGTGTTAATGTGGCTCTGTGTGTAGATGGTAGACTTCGGATTGCATTTCGTGAAGACCACCCGACGTTACCATATGGTTTCTGACCCTCCCGGTAGTGATTATTTACATATTTACATTATAAAGCCGCACGAACGAAAGTGCTCAAAATACTTGTCTACTGATTACTGATGAATTCTTATTTATCTCGGTTCGATCATTATAGGATCCTTCAGTATGAGTAAATCATTGATATATCGTTCTAAAACCAGTGATTTGGTCTAAAAATTGTATTTTGCAAACTTGAAATCGATTGAGAATCTTGAACAATTTTTCAAGACAAATGATATCAATGTTTTCTTTATGGATTTAAGGTCGATTTGCGTTTGGAAAAACAGCAAATATGCATGTGGAAATTTTCTGCGTAACTGTTAATATCTCCGTTCGATTTGAAAAGTTTGAAATTTGTGGAAGAACGAACGGTTTTCTATAAAAACTGCATTTCGGAAAATTGCAATCGGTTAAGGTCGGAAAGACGATTTCCCGAACAAAATATTTTGAATTTTACCGCGATTAACTCATTTTCAAAATAGAAGATCAGATTGTCCGCAAAGTGTATTCTCGACACATTCACCGTCTATAAAAAAATTCTATTTGCAACCGTTTGGACCGAAATGAGCTCTGAATATATGCAGATCCGAAATAATTATTTCGAATCTGAAACTTCTAGCATGTTTTTCAATGATTCCATGCATTCCTCGCATCCATAAGCTGAAAATGATGTAAAATTTAAGACATTTTGAGAACATTATCAATTTTTCAAAAAATCGACCCGAACCCTTGGAAAAATGTCGGCCAAAAGTCAAAATTTCAAATGCGTGATTTTTGAGCTCAATCGATTCCTTTCGACGTAAGAAGGTCACAAATATGCACTTATAAAGCGTTTGGATCAATAATCAGGAAGAAATCGTCGGTTAAAAATCGTTAACTCTCAACGCTCAAAAAACCCTTAAAATGTGTCGAAAATGTCTAATTTCGGATATGAAACTTCTGGCATGTTTTCCAATGAATTCTTTGCTAAATGCGAAAGTTTCACAACACACCTTTTAGCAAACGTTGTCACGTTTTTCTAACTTCTGTTGATCTCATCAGAAAATTGCGACCTGATGACATCAGTGTTCCGCATGCAAGTCGATACTTGTGGCCGTCTTTGGGTGCTCGATTCTGGAAAAATCTCTATCACAACTGAGGAAGCCACCCAACATTGTCCCCCCAAGCTGCTCATCTTCGACTTGGAAACGGACCAGTTGATCGAGAAGTACATTTTCCGCAAAGAATTCATCCTCCAAGACGGCCTCTACTCCAACATCATCATCGATATCCGGGAGGACAACTGTGCGGATGCCTATGCCTACATGTCGGACGTTTGGAGGTGGGCGCTACTACGGCTCCTCACTCACATTTATTTGTTGTGAAAACCTTCCAGATTTGGAATTGTGGTCTATCGACTGTTTGATGGCAAAGCCTGGCGCATTACCGATCATCTCTTCTATCCAGATCCTCTAGCTGCTCGGTACAAGTTGCACCATTTGGAGTTTTACTGGATGGATGGCATCTTTGGCATGGCCTTGAGCCCTGCAGGGCACGCCTACGAGGACAGAATGCTCTATTTTCATTCAATGTCTGGATACCGGGAGTTTTATGTTAAAGCCTCCTACTTAAGGGAAGAGAAGTCGAAAAGCGATGGGAATGCCTTCAAAGTCCTGGGACAGAGTAGAGGTGAGTACTGCTCAAGAGCAGATTGAGCAGACTGCTGATGTAGAGCAAATTTCAGGCGACCAGGGCCACATTTCGTCTTCTGTGATGGACGACAATGGGATAATGTACTTTAATCTAGTCACGCGCGACTCCATGGGCTGTTGGGACTCAAGGAAGCCGTACAAGCGAGCTAATCTGGGCATAATTGCTCAGAGTAGGGACACTTTGGTCTTCCCCAATGACTTAAGGTAAAGCCAGCCGAGCATCAGTAGAGTGCATGCACTTGAGCCTCAATTTCAGATTGGACCAGGAAAAAAAGCAGAGCATGTGGGTTTTGACCAACAGACTCCCGTACTATCTGATGGAAGGCTTGGATGCCAGCATATATAATTTCCGAGTAATGTCAGCATATACAGATGATTCCATCCGGGGCGGCATATGTGACCCAGCAATACAAAACAGCGACACTTTCGTGGAACCCCTCAATGATATTCATTGTGATTGAAACCACGAGCTTTTATTTTTTTACATAAACAAGAATCTTCCAGCTTCCCCTACGGCGAAAGGCGAAAGCCAAAAATCTTCTTCACCAGTTGATCACGGGTGTTTTGCAAAAGCCCCACTTGGCACCCGAAATTTTTCGAAATTGTCTTCTTGAGCCCAAATCGCTGAGGACTGAAGCCAAGCCTGGCCCCTAAACCCACCTCCATCCTAACCCCGTTTAAACAATTCAAATCGCTTTGTTTCTCATTTTCCATGTCATTCAAGGTAACGGTAGCTATTTCGCTTTCATGTAGCGTTTGGTTGGATTGTCTGAGCTGCAGCTGTTTTCTAATGAAGCATAGACAGGTTTCCTCACTTTGGCCATCATCAGCCTGCGAGTGCGACTTGGGCATGTGCAGGCCCTTGTAAAGTTTTCCTTGCGATATGTAGAAGCTTCGCGTTAGGAGCGTATTTGCTACAAGCAACCAACAGTAGCAGAAAGTCGCTTAATTGGTACAAACCCGTACTGTAAACATCCGATAGGGAGACTTCTTTGAGAGCATGCAGGAATTGGCCTTTCAGCTGCTGGGCCCTTTCAACATCATGATCGGAAATTTCTAGGGCTCTCATGCTTTGCTCGATTATTGAAAGGTTTGCAGCAGAAAATGAGGATGGGGTGCTTTTATTTAAATTGGCGTGAATCAGGGAGTCAAACGACTTGGAACTATCTAAAGCATTTCATTGAGTAGAAGCTAGATATGCTCTCTTAAAGGTACCTTTGAGAACTCTTTTTTTCTCAAACAAGTCCCGGAGCTCAGCTTTGAGAATTTCCATCGATCGGTCAGCAGGAAAGCTACCAACGTCGCTGCTTTGCATGCAGTCCAAGCTCAAATCGGACAGCGAGTAGGACTTTGCCTTACTCACTAGGACTTCTTCTGGGCCCTGACTGTTTTTGGAAGCTACAGCTTTAGAGCATAGGGATTCTACTGAAGGCTCGTTCAGTTCGCACTCCATAAGAATTTCTCTGTAAAAGCTGCCGTTGCTTTGAAGATATTTCCTAGTATGCCAGGAAAAAGCTTCTTTACCTCAGAATGGAGAACCAAGCATACACGGAGGGACCATGTTCGATCACTTGGGCGATAATATAATCCAAGCAAATTGAGTTAAGGCCCTTTTCCTTGTGGCAGATGAAGGTTCCAAGCACAAAAGTGAGGGCATTCAGGATCAGGCATCTGATGATCCCCAGCAGCAGCCAGGGAAGCATCAGATGGGGTTTTTCCTCCTACATAGAGCCAAAGTATTTGGACGCTCTGTTGATTGAAAAGGACTTACGAAAATTGCCGGCCACAGCATGATGACATAGAAGGCCAGAAATATGTGCAACGTGAACGTTCTTACAACGACAATGGCACTGATGACGTATTTGAGGAACAGTTCCAGATATTTGGTTTTGTTCAGCTCAAGTTTCCAGATGTCCTCCACATTGGACTTCAAGTGGAAGAGCGAGAAATCCAGGGAGAGGAAACATATCCCTAGAAATACTATTAAAAGCACTTCGGATTGTCTAGGTAATCCCAGATAAAAGGCTAACATAACGAGTCATGTTCATCGGACTGAGAATTTTGGCAGTTTTGTGACAACTTCAATGTTATTTCACTGTTTTACCAGGAATGCTTCATACAAACTTGCCAGCTTTCATGTGACACCCTGTAACTACAGGAAAATGTTTTAGGGAAAATTTCCATCTGACTTTGTTCAATAATTGGTTTGTCAACTGTAGAACAGCAGCATAAATGCTGCTGGAAATCGCGGGCTTTTAACTGTATTTTTTAATGAAATGTGTAAAATAAATCGGACTTTTTTGAGAAAAATTCATGGCTTTCATGGATTGTTTTGCTAAGTTGATTTAGTTGGGAATCATTCAGGGGTTCATGAAGGAAAAAATTGTCAAGTCCTGACTGAACCTAAAACAAACTTCTAAATCATACCAAAATAAAATTATATTTGCATTAGTTACAGAAACAAAAAAATACAAAAATATATCATTTGCTGTTTGTTCAAATACATAACCAACGTATTGTTGTAAGAAGGTAAAAATCTCCATAGATGCTAAATTTCGCCGATGTAAAATATCGGCGCAAAACGCGATGTAAAGTACCAGTTCAGGTTTCTAGAGTGTTATTTTCAGGCTAAACCCAACTGAGGAGTGAAAATAGGCCCTGAGGGTGCCAGCAATTAACACATCAATTTTCTACATACATGCAAGACCCTACTTATTTACCCTACAGCAAGATCATTCTTTATATAATGTAGTATTAGTTGAATATATTAAATTGACTTACACAAGTAAAAATAAATACTAATTATTCATATAAACCAACTAATCTAGTTATGGCAAACATTGGCGTAAACGATGATTAGTTATATTAATAACAGCATCTTACCGAGAAAATTTTCAGGCATGGAATTGACCATTTTTTAAGTGGAGTGAAGATAAATTGGTCAACAAATCGCAAAAAATCGGGTTTTAAACCGTCAATTACTACCGAAAAAACAACTCGAAACCCGCTTTTGCGTGCAAGCTGGAGGAATTTTCAAGACATTTCAAAAAACGTTTTTAGTACCGTCTTCTGAACGGGTCTTTGGTGTAGGCGCCCCGTTTGGCCTCCTGCCACACCTGGTAGAAGAAGCTGAATGAAACCAGCCACATGTAGGTGTAAACCACTGGAAACACAATGAGAGAGAAAATAAGAATAGAATTTTGCAAAAATCGGCTCACCAAATGTAATCAGTCCCAGTATCAGCCACAGGGTGCCATTGAAGTTATCATTGGGCGTGTTCTTGCTGTAGAAATGAATGGAAGTTACGATAACGGACACCAGTAAACCGATGATTAACATTCCTCCAAGAACCACCCAAGGCATCATTAAGTAAAAGTTGCGCTGAAATTGCGATAAAACTGTTATTAAAAGGTTCTTTTTGGGTTCGATTAAGGTTTACCTTTATGGTTCCTACTATGAGCAGGATTGACAGTATGATGGTCAGGCATAGGTTTACTATCAGGATTATTTGGACTGAAACACACACAAAAATACTTTGCATTTGCAGACAGGAGAAGGATTTTGTTGCGCAGCTCTAGGCAAGATTTTTAAACGAGCAAGATAATCCTATTGCAGGAGTGTTACTTAACTCGATGTTACTTACTAGCAAGTTCTGGTAGAATGGAATCCAGCACAATCATCCTAAATTGGAAGTTGATGATTCCGCACATGGTTAGAGCGATGATGATTATTGTGATGATGGACAAAATCTAAAATTGATAGCAACATTGTGGGAACATTTCAAAATTGTCGTCCTGTACTTACAATGGCCCCAGCGCCAGCCACCAAAGTCCCCGTGCGAAGAGATCCGCAACAGCAACATCTCTTCAGGAGGCATGCCTCGCAACCGCCCATTTTTGCCTGAAATTTTTCAAAAAACTATCTTGGGTTTTTGCCAATTTTCCAGATAAATATACACATTCTTCCAGTTGACCGCAACAGTTCAAATGCGCAATTAAACATCTTGACTTCTCATTATTCCCCTCACAAATCGAAGTCAATTAAAAACGATGTTAATGTTTGTACGCTAATTGAATTGTAACGAAGTTGCCCTTGAATGTCGCAGATTTGAACGAATCCTAGGTGTGTTTAGGAGGAAATCGGTCAGCAGCTGTTGGATATGAGCAGGAATTACAGAAGTGTGTATTAAGCACTTGAGAGCTTTCAGATTGAATTTAACGGTTAATCAACATCCCGGTTGGTTTGCCACAAGTTCAACACAAAAGCGTGCTAATTTTTTTTTATTGCCGACGTTTCGACACGTTCATTCTGGCATCCTCAGGGCAATTTCACGTTGAGGGTCTGCGGAGGCTAACAGAAATATGGAGAAATCTCGGCCAATTGAAAAAACAGACTTTTGCTATTAGGTTCTAGCAGTGGAAACAAACATGTTTTTTCAAACTGCCGACGTTTCCTCATTTTTATTTTGGCATCATCAGGGCGGCAGGTTGTTCAAAAAATAATTTCTCAAAATAAAACCGCTTTTGTTGTGGAATTGTTACTGTGGTGGCACCCATATTTTCAGTTAACATTGAAAAGTGCATAAATCTTTGACTGTAGGTACCAAGGTTACAACACACTTGGTATAGTCTACACATCGATGCCGTCATAGGATTACGTCATTTTGCAAACCACTCCAAGAGAAAAATGCTAATCTCTGCCCACATTTTTCTAATGTTGTTGTTAAACTTTGTTCTGCGAAGATTTCAGGTATTTTTAAGCGCGCCTAGACGCGCCAGTTGTTTGCAAAGTGTCCAACAATTAGGCGCCGCAGGAAAGATTTGCCGGAACCCGTTAGATGTGGAAAGCCCCAAAATAGTAAAAGCTGTAAAACACTGACTTTTTGAATAATTTATCAGCGCTGTTTAAAATCTAGATTTGTTTCTGGCACGGTCGATCAAACCAAAAATTAACATTTGCAAACCACTTGCTAACGAACCCAAAACTCTGTTAATTGCGCCCACTAATTAATGTGGCATTGCGAAATTACCCCAATTATCTCTAGTTTACAGGTCAGAATGTTTAAATTAGCAAGAAACCCAAATAACTGGTGATGTGTATTTATAAAATGGATTTTGCAAGCGCAAAAATTGAGATAACTTTGCCACAACACGATGCAGACTCCAAGTATTCCCTTTATTTGTTGCCTTAAACCGTATTTTTCCTGTGATAAATGCATCGCATGGCCATGGCCTAATATGGGCGCATCAACTACTGACTAATCGCAACTTTTCTCCTTGGCAGTTGCAGTTTTTCCTTTTTGGGCCACTTGGAAGTACCGATACAGTGGTTCAATAGACACATTAGTTTTTTCCTGCTGATTTTCGCCCATTACATACCGATGATGTAACCGGGAAGTCAGAAACCGCTTCTTCCTAGAGCGAAAAAATTAGCGCGCTGCGCGTTCCGTGAAACGAAAAAAATTAGCCGTTTAATGTCAGCCCATAAATCCAGACCCGACATGATTAAGAAAAGTCGCAGATTGCCCTTTATAAATACGGGCAGATACGATCTTGACCCAAAAAGCGATCGGAGCTTAAAATAGTTGATTTGATGGGATCGCAGGAAATTGCCTTATGGTAGCCCCACCTTCATTTTCGTTGTGCTCAATTTGCAGAAAATCGTTTCGTTTGGGTGAGGTTCCTACAGGGTTTATTATAACTGCCACTTTTACTACAAAGATGTTTAATCTAGAAACTGCTTCCTCTGGAAACCTGAAAATTGTTCCACTTTTCTTCGATGCGATCGCTTTAAAACACAACAGTTAGAAAACATGTGTGGTAAAAATTCCTCACCCACTGTAGACAATCAAATCTTTGTTGATGTAAAAACAACAATTTGTGACGGACGTAAAGTGTGGGCGTTTTTCATGACGATGAACGTAATCCTGCGAATCTGCTCCTTAAGTACCGACTTATTCCAGGAAAACACGCTACAACAGTTGAATCATATCTTCAAGCAAAGTTGGGTTCTTAGGGATCTTTATCTTCATCAGTAGATGGTTGAAACGATTTTTTTCAAAACAGAGCTGAATGTGAACATTTGGAAGCTTGAAAAAACCGCAGCTCAGTGAATTGTTTTCGACCTAAAAAGCACCTTAATATGCATTACGGTTAATGGCACCTTAAATCGATAATTTTGCTTCTTTTTATGCGGTTATCGTCTTTAGCCGAATATATTTTCAGAAATAACGTCTTTGGATCATTCTGAACTGATCTGATTATCTGATGACTAAAACCATTTTCAGTTAGAGTTCTGCACAGTTTTTGGATTCCCAACTGCTTTCTGAATCCTTTTTTCTTACCTTTCGATCAATCTCAAAAGGTTTTCGAGTGATTAATATTTTTGCACACAAACTTGATAAAGTTTTTAAATCCGTACACGCAGAAGTTCAATTGTTCTCTTTCTGGAGTATTTTATTGATTTGTTTGATTGCTCTGTACGATCAATGTGATCAATTCCCTGCAAAAACGGGTTTTATCTTCGGCACTTCCTATGTAGGTATAGGATAATAATATTTTATTTGAAATATATTCTTATTGAGTTTCAGATTTTTGGATAATATATAGGGTGTTCTATTTGAAAAATCCACTTCTTCCCACTTGAAAATCAAGCGGTATAATAACTTAGTTTTCGCCACCCTGTATAATTCTGAACAAACTATGCACCCAAAATGAATGGACATTATTTTGGGATTCTGCACTCAAAATTTGAACTTTTTTTCGATCAAAATACCGCAGTTATAAACATTAAGTTAGAGATTTGGTCACAATTTTTTACAAGTGACTACTTGCCTAGAGTGTTTGAGTCTACTATAACAAAGCTATCATCGGCTAAGGGCCGTAAACTCTCAAAACCGGCTTAAATTAGGACAGAAATATCGATTCTTGCAAGGAAAATGCAGTATTATTTGATGATTTTGAGCGATTTGCTTTGGGAACATTTCCTTGAATGGTTCAACAATTGAACATTTATTTAAATTTCTGAACAATGGAAAATGTTCTCTGTTAAATGGCAATTTTCCGATTAACTACACTTCACCAACTGAATCAGCAGCATTAATAAAATGACTCCCACTTATCAGGTCCAATTATTTTGGTCGCAGATATTTGCAGGAAAGTGATCTTCCAAGCTGGAATTTAGGAATATTTGCGTGTCGATTTTGGGTCTTTTGTGAAATTCATGGCAAAATATTAATGAGAGATCAGTGGATGTTTATGGAAACACCTCAAGTTAACGCAGAAAAACAGACGCTTTCCTGGAACACTTTTCCGCCGTAAATGTTTATAAATGTTTACGCTCAGTTAACACGTGTATTCACAGCATCCCAACACGGATCAATGCGTTGATTGCTGTTCATTTTGTGCAGGTCGAGACTGGTAAAAAGTGCCAAAAATCGTACTCCAACATGTATTTTTAGTGCTGATGATCTAAAATGTTTACTTAACCTTTGGAATTCTAAGTGCACGCCAAGTTTATATTGAAAACAAATAACATTAGCCGATTGACAGGATCAAGATTTTTTTATAAATAATGTTGAGCAAGATTCGACCATCATCGGCTCCACATTATCCAGGTTATTCGAGCATTTCATAAGGCAATCAACTGCTTGGCATTCCGAGACTGTATAATGTTGAAGCAATCAAAGTTAAATTATGTGCTTTTAAAGTGCTTAAAATTCACAGAGTGTGGGCTAGTCAAATAATGCTTTTCGTCTTTAGAGACATTCTCTGGTTTTCAATTCCATTTCCATTTCATTTTGTATCTGCTTTATTGCAGATTTTGTCTTTTTTGAGGCAAAGCACCAGACCAAGCGTTATTGATCGGCATTTATATGGGATTAGGAAGCTGTTAAAAAGCTATTAACATTCTATGGAAGTTTTGAGTAGGTGCCTTAATTGGGTTTCAAATTTTTTTGAGCCTGATCAGCAATATTTGGATTTTGCCAATTTAACTCTTCTGGTTGGTTACTGGAAAGTTTCCTGTAAAAATCCCAGCTTTTCTTAAACATTTTCGCAGAACTTGAAGCTTTCAACTTTTCCCAAGCCGATAACTTCCAATTATTGAACCATTCGGTACGCAACAAGTTATATCATGAGCAGCTAAAAATACTCACTGTTCTTGAAACTCACCTCACTTTGCAACTCCAAGCCACTTGCAAACAACTGCACCCGCTCACCACGATAACCAGGGACGAAAATTCGATTTTTTGCGACTAAACTCGGGCAATTTTCGCGACTTTTTCGCGATTTTCCCGTGCCAAGTGTCAAGGCAAAAATCCGCAAATGAAATCGCGTTCAGCGCGTAGTTGCAAATTGTTTCGAATTCCGGCGCCATCGTCAATCGCCCACCGTCGGCCAGTTCCGTACGATTTGACCATCACGTTGACCATGACGTAGATGGGAAACGACCATGGTTTGGTTGGTAGTAGTTGGCCAAGAATTTTTCTGCTGGCTGAAATCTGAATGATTTTTTTCAGGACTGGAAGGTTTAGTTGTTTCAATTCAATGTTTTTGTTCTCTTAGTTACATAAAATCAAATTTTCTTAATGGAAATGAGCCTCCTTTTTGAAATGTTCATTCAACGAGCGGGTGAAGTTCAACGGACGGTTTACTCTTGCATATTTCTTCTTGATCAAACTAGCCTCCAAATGTCGCAGATTTGAACAAATCATAAACGCGAGAAGGTACAGACATACAGGCAAGCCCTTTTACTTGTGCCAAAAGCCACTTTTTGAGAAGCCTTTAAATTGCATGAAAACACCGATTGACAATGCCAATCTCTTGCTCATTATACAACATTTTTTGCAAAATCAATTTTTGGAAATCTTTAAACTGCATAAATCTTGAAAACTTGAACTGCCAGTTGCCTAACCGCGATAAAGCCAATATAAATTTCAGTATCTAAGTATCTATTTTTAAATGCAAACAATTATAAAACTAGCTCAATGTTTCAGTGCTATATTTATAATCTAACGAGGAATAACTGTGGCCCGGTGCACTGCGAAGACATTCTTCTGCTAGTGAAAATGACTGCTAAAACCTACAAAATCACCCAGAGTGATTCGCTGGGCCGGTAAGTCTTTACTTACCAACTATTTTGGGGGCACAGCTATGGATTTTTGCTAGGTATATGGTGGCTAAAAGGCAGCTGAAGCAGGGCGAGCTGATTTTAAAGGAGGAAGCTGTTTTAGTGGGTCCGCACCTCAATGGCCCAGCCAGATGCTTCAAATGCCTCAAAACCATCAACCTCCTCATGTGCTCGTTTTGCAACCAATGCAACACGGCTCTAATGTGCACCAACGACTGCCAAGGTAGTTTCTTCCCTCTCATCCCCTTTAAGTTCAAGTGAGAATCAAATGTTTCAGGCAAGCACCATTCGGACGACGAATGCCTCACATTGAGAACCCAGAAAATCAAGGGTCAAATCCTAGCGGAAAACCCGTCAGTGATTTTTCCCTTGTGCTGTCTTCTACTGGGCATCTACAACCCAGAGGTTTATGAAGAAATCATCAGCATGGAGTCGCATTTGGAGGAGCGGAGAAACACGCCCATTTGGAGACGGCACAAAATATCAGTGGAAGATATTCTGAAAGATACCAACCTGCTCACCCCACAAGACCTACAAGAGGAGGTTGTACAGAAAATCTGTGGTATTCTGGATGTAAATTCCATAGAGGTAAAATGTGTACGTTGCCTGTTTTGTAGTGGTCCGTTGGGTTTGCGTTCCCCCAAGCTCTCTGAGCCAAATCCAGTTCGTTATCTAATGTCTTCTAGGTTCGGCCGGCAAACCTCTCAAACCTGCCGATAGTTGATCCGGAAAAGCAGTGTCTTAGAGGGCTTTACCCTAAAGTCGCGATGATTGCCCACAATTGCCTACCGAATGCCTATCTTGCCGCTGATGATAACTTTTCAATCAGCGTCTACGCAAAAGTCGACATCAAAGAGGAGGCGCCCATTTTTATCAACTACACCAATGTGCTGCAGGTGGTTGAAGGCTCAGCGGTTTTGCTCGGTTTTAACACCCACTTTCTCAGGGAAATCAAGAACGCCAACTGAGTTTACTGGAAGGAAAGTACTTCACTTGCACCTGTAGCCGTTGTCGCGATCCTTCGGAGCTGGGCACCGAAATCAGCTCATTGATTTGCCATAAATGCAGAAAAGGCTTCCTCCGATACACGGAACTTGAGGAGAATTTCCAGCTCTGGAAATGTTCCGAGTGCAAGCAATGCTTCAAGGACTTTCTAATCAAGCTGGCTATAGAAGAAGCAAAGAGACGCATTGATGATTTGGGTAAGTGGGTTTAACTGAAACTGGCATTGAGCTAAACTCTCGGGGACTCTTAGATCCAACGGATGTCCAGCAGATGGAAAACCTCTACAAGAAGCTCCTGCTGACCTTCCATCCCAACCACTATCTGCTGCTGGGCCTCAAGCAAGCCCTAGTTTCCCTCTACTCAAAACTGCCTCCTACCAAGAGCAATTTGAACAGAAAAATCGACCTTTGCGGAAGATTGATGTCGGTCTTTGGCAAGCTTGAACCGGGAATATCCAGGATTAAAGGTGAGTTGATTTCGAAAAACCAACCAAAGCAAGTGGGTGAACATTTGCACCTTTTCCCAGCTCTGACAATGTACGAACTGCAGTCAGCCATCGTGGACATTTCAAACAAGCAATACAGAGATAAGGAAATAGGCGATGAAGAGTTGATAAGCGAGCTGCAAACAGCGGAGAAAATCTTGAAGGATTCGGTTAAATACCTGCTCTATGAGCCACCCAAGAGCCCTGAAGGCCGAATGGCTCAGATGGGGCTAAATGAGCTGAAAATGCTGCGCAATTCCATTCAGAGTATCCAAAAGGATCTGGTAGTCAGCAAGGAGCAGCAGGGCGATAAGAAGGCGGAAATCGCGAGGCGGCTAAAGGAGAAGTTGGAGAAAAATAGAGAAAAAACCCAGAAATCCTGCGAAGGTGTGATTACGCCTGATGGTGGAGACGGTGAAAATGGGAAATTGGCAAAGCCTGGCGGCAAAAAGAGGAACAAGAAGAAAACTGTGACGTGAAAAAACTCGTCCAATTCAGACTGTGTTACTTTGTAACTGTGTTCCCTTTGTTTCCCTCCAATTAGTCTTATAGCCAAAATGAAGCACAATTAGGAAATATCTTCATTTTATTTAATAGACAACATATAAATATAGGAATTTATCGGTGTAAACATTTAAAGGGCAGCTGCAAGCCGAAACCATTGACACCAATAAAGCGGTAGTAGAACAGTTGAGTTTCCTTATTTAACAGACAATTCCTGGTGATATTAATACATTTTGTTTGTACGTACCGTCGGAAGCAGTTTAATTGAAATCGGAACAGTTACTTTCCATTCTCCAATTTAACTTTCTTCGACTGAGGCTCTTCGTAAGCGGTCTGCGACATCAGGAACGGAACCTTATGCTCCAAAGTCATGTTGGTTTCCGGCGGAAGTCCCGTACATGCCCTGAGGATGTTCTCGATGCAGGCTCTTTGTCGAAACAAGGAGTTTACAATTGGAGTTCCTTTTGGCACCTAATGCAAATAAAAAAATGTTTCAATTGCAAAATACTGCAGTCAGTCCATTGCAAAAGACTTGAACTTACCAATGGTGCTTTGCATAAGTAGCTAAGAACAGACAGAACCGGGTGGAGTTTTGTGTATTCCGCATCCTCATTTTCCAGTTTTTTCACTTCAATGCGCGAAAACAGCTCGGCCAGAAGAACCAGGTCGAGAATCAAGGGCGCAGCCAACAGAGAATCTTCGCAGGTGTTGTGAATCACCAGAGTATTGTGACCTCCCATCATTATTTCCGAAATATACTCATCCATAGCACGTTTGGAATCACCTAGAAAATTTTTCAGGACCAGGAGTCTTCGCTCCGCCCATCTACTTACCAACATATGGCACATATTTGATGACAACAACATGATCGGGTTTTTCGCCCGGCTTGTAGAGGATGCTGTTGGAAGCCACCATGTCATCCACCACGTTGCTTTTGGAAATCTAAAATCTTCCAGCTAGAAGGTTTAGTTGGCAATTGCCAAGTCACTTACCTCTTTTGAGCGGAACTGTTCTGGAGCGCTCAGGTTGCGCCCGTCGTTATTCCCCAGATGGTTGTAGCTTACGATGCTTACCGGCTTAATCCCGGCGCTTACCAGGAAGTCCACCAAGACGCTCTTGAGCTTGGTTTGTCCTGATTTGAAGTCGTCACCTTGAAACCATCCAGCATTAGTACGTACAAACCAAACCAAAGTATCAAGCATGTAGAACTGACCAGCAATGAACACCTTTTTCTCTTCGGCCAACTCGATCAGCCCCGGAACGAAAGTGTTTTGAGGCGAACCGTTTATATAAGTGCATCCCTTGGAAATGGCCGCATAGGCATAGAGGGTTGAAGGCGAAATGTCTTTGTAGTTGCTCTTGATGGCCTTCGACAAATTCTCCGCGGTGTCGTTGATGCCTTCCACAATGCTGGTGAACCTTTCAGTGGTGGCAGTCCAAAGGACTATCACCTCATCCAGCTTCCACTGGTTTCGAAACTCTTCAATATCATCCATTATGGTCTTCACCTGATCCAGCTTGGAGCCATTCAGCACATTATCAGCTCTGGACTTTTGGTTCTCCGCCACATAATCCTGGTTGAAGATCGCTGCTCTTGGTTTGCGCTTCTCCATGTGGGGCTTCAGCACTTCAACCAGATCGGGTGGGAAGACTTCGCTTCGCTTCAAAGCGGCTGCTAAATCAAGTGCGCTGATGTCCCAACCATCAATGATGAGATTATTGGGATCCACGATGGGCAGCAGATGGGACATTGGCACATGGACTTCATCAGCAATTCGGACTGTGGACGCTTGAGTGACTGACCCGAACCTAAAGAAGGTAGTGGGTGAGTGAGGATGGAGCGCTGGAGGGCGGGAAATTTTCTACCAGTTGGCGTCTTGGTTGCCTTTTCGCGTTGTCCAGGAAAGCTTGAGTTTGTTGGCGATGAGAGCAGCGGTGAAAGAAGCTCCGTTGTTTCCACCCCATCCCACCAACATCACGCCCAGTTTGGGCACTTTGCGTTGAGTGCGGAACATCAGTTTTTCGGTTAAAGTGTTCACCTGCAAAAGGAAAATCATCGTGATAAGTTTCCATGGTTGAATGCACAATTATTCGGAAGGAATTGGGATATACAGGGTGTTTCACAAGGAAATGCAAATGTAAAAGTCACTCAATTGTTTTTTTATAAAATAGTCAAAATAGACGTTTAGGTGAACGAAAATTAAAATTTTTAGTAAAATCGCCCATCAGTTTGCTAGTGAGCAAATTCTAGAAAAAATTCATTCACCCCATAAATCAATAAAACAGTTAAAGGTGCAAACTTACCGCAATACTGGACTCCTCCTTCTGGGCCTCAACATATTGATAGTCATATTTTGAAATGATGTATTTGTTTGTGTATTCCACATTGGGGCTGTTGACCACCACTTGCATGTTGGTGCAGCTTTTTTTCACAGTCTGCCAACGCTTACGAATCAACTGGAAAATGACAAAAAATGGTACCGATCATTCGATCATCAAGATGATTGCAAACGTGTAGATAGTTAACTCCAAATTCAAGCAAACTAATAATACAATAAACTTACATGTAAATAATCTAATTAATATATTTCTGCCGATCAGGACCTACCTTATTAGCATAGAACTTACACTGTGGGAGATCAAATCTAACTTTGATCGCGTTTATTTTTAGAGGCGCTATAAATTTTAGTATCAACAATCAGAGCCCAGCCATTGTTTATGGTAATTCAAAAAATTTATGGAGTAATCACATTCATCTGGCCTGGGAAATTCCGCAAATTCGAATTTTTTTAAGGCATTATGAGCCCAAAATAGAACACTATTTGAGGTAGCTGAAGACACGTCCTTTAACTTTTAGATGGAATCTTGCAGAAAAAATCGTTTTCCACACTCCTACGCACATCAAAACCGGCAATTTTGCCCTGATCGTTCCAGCAAACATTCAGCTTGGGCTGGAAACGGGGGAAAACTTACCAATGGAAGAATTTACAACGAAACCAGGACCTCGAACAAACACTTTCCTTATACGTAGGTTAGCACAGCACTGACATCTCAATGTAGAGGATTTTGCTTGCCGGAAATATCGAGTAGAATTATTCTGGAGAATTCTGTTTAGGCCCTTGAAAAAAGCCTGCACGTCCCTGCCCGCTAGCAGGAGCGTAGCGATAAATAAGCTCAACCATCCGAGAGTATGGGTGCATTTATGTGGCCCAAAAATAATTTTTGGGGGCCAATTTAAAAGAAAATCGTTGGAAAAGCCCCTGATTTGAATCAATAATTAAGAGGCTTTTATTGAGCGATTTTCCTGTGTTTTCGTTTCATTGTTGAAATTTTTTTTTCACAAAATCTTGGGGGATCCTACATTAGATGAAGGTGCGTTGTGAGTGCCGGAAACTAAAATCCCTTAACTAAGTTGGATTCATTCAAGTAATAAACGCGACAAGTACGGATCTGCCTTGTGCTGAAGAAGTTTCAAAGTTTATTTATATTTCGTTAATTTCTTGAGATATTTACGCATATTTTACCATGGCATACAGCTTAGTTTTGTGCTGTTCTGCAAGTAATGTGAGTAATGAAATTCACCATGTTTTCTAGGTTTTTCACACAATTTTTTCTAGAAAAATGACTGAAAAAATAGTTTTTTTAAAATGTTGTCTCGTTGATCTATTTTTAGATTTTGTAGGGGGTCGAAGCCGCTCCAAGGCGGCGTCCACGTTTGTATTGATTTTGTCGCAACATGCGCCCCCTTCGAAATGCGTTAAATTCCCGCGTCCTCGAATTTAGGGTGAAAACGGAGGGTCGATGAAGGGGTCGCGCCAGACCTAAATTACACGTTTTTTTCCTGACGAAGTCTGAAAATTTTTCACATTGCCAAGGAAAGTGGGGAATAATTAAAGCATTTAACAGTAAAACTGACCCACAAATAAACAGCCAGTCAAGCAAGGAAAGGAATTAAGTTAATTGGAAATAAAATTAAATTTCCTGCGAAAGATGTTGAGCTTTGGGACTTTGTCTCACACAACATCAACAAACCAATCAAAAATGTATACATTCAGTGTTTAAAATTATCCGATTGGCCACTTAAACCAGACACACTCTGTAGATAAAAAAAACTCCGTTAAGTTAAAGTCGGCGTCAGCGCCTGCACGAGACAATATTTCATTAAACCAAAACCACTTGCGTTTTTAATCAGGGCAACAATCAATCAATAACCCTGCAACTTAAGATCATCCCGCACCGGAAAATCTGTGCTGATTGAAACAGATTAACACAAGCAAATAACTAAACATTGTTTAAACAAATCCTGTTGGATTGGCAGGGAAACGAACCAAAAACCGTTAGGAAAATCTCGAATAAATTGTATTTTCCCATCCGCGCGCCCTGTACGCCACTGGTTGAGCGACCCTCAACCCCCACACGAGACCCACCTAAATTAATTCCAGAGGGTATTTTCGGCCTTTTCAGGAGGGGGCAGGCAAATCGATGGCGCGCATTGCCCCCCTCTGTTAAGGGCTCTTCTCTAAGGGTCAGTCCATACCTAACCATACTGAAGAAGCAACCCACATGTAGAAGAGTTTCGTGATCTGTGCCCACATGTGAACTGCTTTTCAAATAAACCAGTGAATGTTTATTGGGAGTTATTAAATCTGAGGTAAGCACCGATGTTTAGTATGGAAAGAACTCCGATGAGGGCTTTAAAAATTCTTTTTCGAACGCATGGTGCTTTAATATTGCTACTTGGTTGTTTCGAGTGGTGCTCATAACCCAAAAAATGCATTTTCAAAATGTTACAGGGTGTTCCAAAAAGTCAGATATTAATGCATAGGTGCAAGAGTTGGTATGGTTATCAAACGGCTCAAAGCGCCCCGGAAGGCAGTGTCGATTAAGAATGGTAATCGCGCAAAAACGGCTTAAATTAAGACAAAATGTTGCATTCTCGCCATAAAATTGTAAATACTTTGAGCGATTTTAGCTTTTTCTTTGGATTCCTAAACAGGTCGACAACAGCTTTAGCAACAGGTTCATATGGTAGAGTCTTTAAACAGTCGATAATATAATGTAGACTGTACTTATAAAGGGGAAAGTGTGTATTGTAAGGCTCGAAACTGCACAAACATTCCAATTGTCGAGTCAAAAGTGGCCATGTGGAGTGCTTGACCAAGCCATAGCAAATTTATGTATAGTGTAAGTGAAGAACTCGCACTTGAATTGAAATATTGAAACAGCAATAAAGTCAATAATTTCCATTTGAGAGCTTCGATTTTTAATTGCAAAAAATCGCAAAAAAACATCCAAATTCACCCAATTCTTTGCCTCAACTCTCAACCAACTGATTGTGAAAGAAGTTCTGTCTATGGGTCAACTTGCGACAATATTAAGGATCCAATTGCAACTAGTGCCGTTTTGGAGCGACAAGCTAAATAAGAAAAAAAAAGACTCTGGATAAGAACCTATTAACCGAAAATTGTATTTACACTTTGACACCTTGAATCTCGGAAACTATTAACTTTCGAATAAGACAAATTTGCCTAAAAGGCAACATTTTCACCTAAACAATTTTGTTGTCACATTAGTTTGAGAACCACCTTTCAGCATTTTCGTTTTAGGCCCAATAAACTTGTATGTTATTTGCAGATGAAGTCGCCACAATCGAAGCCAGTTCGGCTGCTACAAGAAAAATTTCAGGAAAATTTAGAAAGTATGCTAAAAGTCCTGCTAAAAGACGAAGTGTTGAGTGACATCACGATTCATTGCAACGATGGTTTTGTTCGAGCTCATCGAGTTGTGTTAGCCGCCTTCAGTTCGTATTTTAAAAAGGTAATTATCATTTATTTCGCGGCGTTTCTCTGAATGTTCTTCTGAATATGGTTCCGAATTGCTCGCGAGGAACAAACATCCAGAATGATCAACAAATAGTGTCATTTTTACCAAAAATAAAAATGCCCAAAACCGCATAGCAACACTCTTTCGACTCTTTCTAATCGAAGATATGAGAAGCTTTGCAAGAATTGTCCAAATTTTTGTATAATTTTTAACCAGGTAGTTAATCTCTTCTTCTATATCTTTCGGAAAGCGTCCTCTCACGGCCAAAGAATCGATCGAAAAAACGAGTGTTTGACCGGTAAAGTTACAGCAAACAAAGAGCTTTTTAATGCTATACCATTTGCTTATTTTGTTTAAACCAATCCGGAGAAATCAATAAATTTGTCAACCAGCAGTTCGCCATCCCCCGCCACTTTATCTGACCAGCTACAGCAAAAAAACCGTAACCAAATTTGCGTGAAATTTTCTATGGAATAAACTGCATATATTTTCAAAATCGCGTTTCTTCATCCCAAAAAAAATTGTTTAAAAATTGTAAAATATCCTCCGAGCGCCAAATATGAATATGATTGCTAACGATTGAGAAGAATGTTAGATTGATGGTCGTTGCTTACGTATTATTCCTGCCATTGAACAATCATCCAACTAGAGGAAATTACATGAATTGCAGGTTTTCCAAGAGCATCCAGAGCATCAAGTGGCCTACATTCTGCATGGAATCAATGTGGAGCAGCTTAAAAGCCTAGTGGAACTCATATATAGTGGAAGCACGGAAATCCCTTCAGATAAAACGGGGGCTTTATGCGATATAGCTGAAGAATTCGGAATAAAACCCATTATTGATGAAGTCAGTCAAAACCTTCCAGTTCCGAACCAGTTCCATTTTATCCAACGATCTAATTTGCATTTCAGAATGACAAAAACTTGTCAGGCACGCCGTCTCGAGATACAAGATTTAGAGGACAAAAGCGGGTGGCTGTGGACTTTGAAAACGCATCTTTAGAGAATCCTGATGGCAGCACTAATTTAACAGCCGTCCAAATCAAGAACGAACCAATAGTCAGCCCTGAATCGGAGACGCCGAGCAACAAGATGCCAGGTGAACTACCGGAATAAGTCTTCAATGTTAATCTTGAACAGAAAACGAAATCCTATTTCAGAAAACTTCGTCATTCCATCCGCCAACTGTTATCCAGCTTCAGCTCCAAGTCCAAACTGTGCCCGTTTAGCGACCAACTTATCCATGTCAGAGTCGAATGGGTTCTCCATCAGCAGCCTCCCCTTAAATGCAGAAGCCAGACGAAAAAGCAACTGGGCTTTGAAGCAAAGGAAGTACAAGTGCACTCTGTGTTCGTCAAGGTAGCAACCAAATCTACTGAAAGCGTTAGCAATAACACCATCCGCAATTAATTGATGATTTTAGTTTCAAAAGAGCATCGCACTTGAGTCGACACCAATTGGTCCACACAGGGGAACGCCCATTTGCATGCGACCAATGCGATAAAGCATTTTCCCGACATGATAAGTTGAAGAACCATATCCGGAAAACTCATTCTCTGGACTATCCGGAAAACATTTCGGATTCCGTGCCGGAGGAAAAGGAAGTTTATGTAAGATGTTCTCCAAAAGGTGCCCAGTTCCGTAAATAAAACTGCTTTCAGACTATGGGGCATGTCAGGATGAACGTGCCGCACTCCGAAACGTCGGAGGAACTCACTCGGGTTACCCGCGAAGATCTTTTGGTTCACATGACTAAAAGTGAACAATATTTTGAACCTGAAACCACTGCAACGGATGAGCCCGTCCTTCCAGTTTCGCTACCTAACACTCCTCCAAAAAAAGGTAGAGGGAGGCCTAGGAAATACCCGCCAGGTAGAATTAAGTCGAAGGATTCTTTTGAATAATTTTTCTCCACCGCTTGGTTTCAGTTACTGTGCCTTTAATCAAACGCCCCCGAGGACGACCACGCCTAAACCCAGACGGTAAATATCATTTTTTAGTTCTCAATTTTAATTACTTTTTTTAAGTCGACTTTTCCGTACTTTATGCCATTTTCCTGTTGACTAGACCGCGCAGGGCTACGCTTTAAACGTCGCAGAGAGGACGAATCACCAGAGCGTCCTGACCAAGAAAAACCTACCAATCAGCAGCGGGAAAACTACGATCTTACTAACATGCCTTTTGGTGACCTAGATTATCTTACCAAAAGAGTTACCATGACACCAAATCCCGAAAAAGTCAGTAAAAGCTTTAGTATTTCCAAAAAATTTACCTATAACTACTGTTCCATATGGACCGTTGGTGTGGTTTCTCTTTCTAATAGACACACAATGGTAAAGCTTCCTTGTTCCACCCATTCATCATTTATTTGAATTGTCTCTTTCTAATGCACTTGCTGTAGAAGACTGCCTTGTTCCACTCATACATCAGAAGACGTGAAAACCTCATTACTGTTTTAAATCTATGTGTTTGCATTTCTGTCTGCAGTTTGAAGAAACGAATTCTTCAGACCAACCATATATTGAGCCGCTGATTGAAATCGAGTGTGGCCAGGGGAGTTCAAAGCAGATAAGGGAGGAGGAGGAGGAGGAAGACACAGTATTGCATCATCATACAGCAGGAGCCTTTCTGCAGAACATCGGCCTCTTGGAGACCAGCGTCGTCTCGAAAATGGAAATAGGCGAAACCACAATATCAGTTAGCAAAACTGAATCGATCTCAAAATAATGTGAAACATTTTAATTTATATATTATGTTATTAAACTGTATGATATAAATGGTTTTTCAAAAAAAAATTACTGGGTAATACTGTGTCTTAAGACACTTGTGTGTGTGCCGCTGTATCAATACAGCACGCCGTATCGGTGTCGCTGTGTGCACCTGAAAATCCCGGTTTTACCCAGGCCTAACCGCACCTCTTTGACTGCGTCATACAGTACGACAGTGCGAGTCGTTGCAGGCCAGATATCCGAGCATACCCCTGACCTGTCACATCAACCGCTTTTTACATCAATTGTCACACAAACATCAAAATAGATATCACAAAGCCCCCAGTTTTAAGTAATTTTTCTAGTTTCTTTTAAAATCTCCAACGGCTCTATCCACAGCCTTAATTCCCCAGTAAATATCGGGCTCAACACGCATTCACATCCCATCTGGTAAGCATTTAGCTCTAGACTTAGATGGGGTTTTCCAAATGTTTTCTGCCCCCAAAATTCGGATTGTAAACGTTTTCTAACAACACAGTTTCCAAGAGAAATTTGTGGGTTTAACCGGTGTGCTATTCCAGAAATACAATGGATTGTGAACCCATTGATCAGCCTCAGGAATCTGGACCGTCCCAGCCAGATGTAACCCCACACGAATTAGAAAAGATCGAAGAAGCGAAGCTCAAAGCCAAGTACCCTTCAATGCCTGGAGGGCCTGCTCGAGTTGGTGGCCATTCGGCGTTCTTACAGAAACGATTGGCTAAAGGTAGTATGTACCTAGTCTTTTATTTACTTCCAAACACTTTCCAACGTAAACTGGTACTAACCAGTGCGTTGTATGCTTTGCAACCCGGTCTGTTTGATGTGTTAAATTAGAGGTCTGCTCAATGGAATATCTGAAATTTCAGGTCAGAAATTCTTTGACTCTGGTGATTATCAAATGGCCAAGCAGAAGATGGGAGGAGTGAACAAGCCCCCGTTAAAAGTTCCAGGACCTATATTTCCAACAGGTGATGCGATCCCAACACCTGAAACAGTACCAACAAGAAAAACTTCTCTTGCCCAACCCTCTAAACTAGCTCAAAGTGTGACGACGGCTTCAACAGCAAATACTGCCTCAAATCCCCCCTAGAAATAAAGCCTTTAGAAGCATGTGTGATAAAGTAAATTGTCTATTTTCATTCGTTGATAATAGAGGATCTTTGGCAATTATAATTCATGTAACAAGCAATGAAGCTAATAAGATTTTTCGCATCTCACTTTTTTTTCGTATGACAACCAGAAGTTCTCTTTTGCCATTTTAATGCTTTTAGTTGTAATTAGTTACGCAAATTTTCCAATGCACAATAAAGTGTATTGAACACGTTACTGGCGCAGTTCATTTCATGTTACATAATTTCTCATTTTCCAGGACGCTGTAAATATGACTGTTTATTAAAATTTACAGTTAATCGAATTGTTCTTTAGAATAGCCCGATTTTTTCCATTCCAAGGAAACAGAAAAACTCCACAATTATTTGTACTATATTTATTAACAGTGAAAAACAACGGCTGATAAAATAGATCCATGTGTGAACTGCTTAATTATATACAGATAATTTAAATCAATGAAATGGAATTACAATAGCTCAATTTTGTATTCAAAGTTCAATTCAGTCAGTTACCTGAAAATAAATACAATCAGTTGTTTGTAGATAGCTGAATTGGGTTCAATTGGGGCATGGTTCTCAATCACGATATTTACGTTAAGGGCCTGTTAGTTCTTCCTGGGACACATCGATTTCCTAAAATAGTCCCAATCCTTTAATAAATCTCAAACAATTATTAAAACAAGCAAACTAACCTGCTCCGGTTTTTGTGTTTTCGCCGAGCTTTTCCGATCGATGGTAATTTGCTGCTTTTCCACTTCTCTTATGATACCTTCGTTATCGATATAATATTCCCCAGCTACTTCTCGGGGATTTTCTTCAGGTTCATTGCCTATTATCTCTGTTTCTGTGTCCTGAAAATAAAAAAAGTTTCGATTTGAATAAATTAGTAACAGGTAGTAAGTAAGCTACCTCTTGGTCATGTTCACCCTCTTGTAATTCTGGTGATTCAGTTTCGTCTTTCACAATAGAAAAATTCAGTGCGTTGATCAAGCCGTCGTCAGTTGATCCCGCAAATCGATATAGGCCCCATATCCAAAGCTATGAAGAAATAAAAGTATTCACATTATGCTATTTTTGAGCTTGCTTCTTGAATCTTACTTGACTTTCCATGCACTTGATGTATCCCAAAACCTTTTGAAAGAATTGGTGTATATTGATCATAGGATGAATTTCAATATAATTCCACGCTCTTAGTATCGCTTTCTTCTGATTACTGCTGTTGTCTTTGCCAAATGTTTGTTTGAGCGGGGATTGAAAAGTCTCGCTTAGGAATGTATCCAATTCTATCAACTTTTCAATAGTGGTAATGGCGGATATTCGATTTTTCTGCTTGGGCGATTTACTTCTGGTCAGCATTAGCAAATCTCGAAGTTTCTTGAAAGGGCCTACCATGTTTTCATTAATTCTGTTTTCTAATCTAAAACATTTTTTTTAGAAAACACCGCACATCCACAAACTGTTGCATTACACATTTACAAATCTATGTCTCATTTGTGCCATTTCATGACCAGCAGAAATATTAAGGCATTTCAAAAGAAAGGTAGTGGAAACCATCGGCAAATTCTGCAAATGGACTGACGTGTTGTAAGTGACTTAACTATTAATTTACCTGTGCACACAGAAAAACTCTGGTGTAACTTTGATAATCCATTCATCTCGAACATGTCGGAATAATTCACTGGTTAAGTGGTCCAGGTCTAACTCCCTGGCATGGAACTCAATATTACTGAAGCCGTCTAAAATAGTGTTCACTGGCAAAAGAGGCAACATGAGAATCATGTTGTATATGCTGCGGAAGTTGGCGTTAAGTTCTAATTCTCTTGCCAAATTGAGTGAGCAAATTTTCTTGTAAATGTTCTGGATGAAATAGAACATCGATCCACCTAAACACGAATATAGAAATAAAGAAAAATATTATTAAACTGCATTCCTGTTTATAGTAATAATAAATCTTACCTATACTCGATTCTTCATAGACGATACAAAGCGCATAGTAAAGATTGGCTTCATAATCGGATATAATTTCCTGCGGTTTCAACTGTGGCGCCAAGTTCTCATGAACGAAGCTAAATATCTTCATGTACAAGTCCTTAGACTTCATATTGACCAAGGAAAATAGGATGGGGTAATACTGAAATTTTGCACGCACTTGTAGAAACTCTAAATTTAGACTTAGAAAAACTCAAAGGCAGCTGACAAATTCTAGTTTAATACTTACGCATCCTGGTTCCACCCAAAGCAACACAGTTATTAATGTGAATGGAAATCCTTCCGATTCTATGAAAAATGATGAGTCTACATACATAATGTTACTATGCGAATACTTTTTTATTACGTCTTGATTAGCGAATACAAGAGCCTTGCCTCCATCTTCTGTACTCAGTCTCTCCTACAAAAACCCCATTACATGAAGTAGCTGACTTCCATTATTAAGAGAACCTATTTTAAGTAACGTAATCAAGTTCCAAATAGGGGTCATGTTGCTTACCTGATAAAATTGAACATGTTTTGTATTAAAATGGAGCATTTTGAATTCATCGTTTTCTATATTATTGAATAACTCGTCGAATGACGGTACAGACTTAGTACCACGCAAAGGGGGTTGCTTACATATTTGTCCAATTACATTCCTCAGCGGTAAGAATTTCTGAATGGTTGAATCACTATAAACAATACTTTTGATTGCTTGCGATTGGTCCACCTTACACAGTACTCACATTTTGCAAAAATCGTCATAAAGAACTCGGAAATTAAAGTACTTGTCCCGCATCATCTTATCATACAAGATAGCGAAAAACATTTGTTGTTTCTTTGCAATAGTGGTTAGATTTCGGTGATTGTGTGGTGTGACTACCTCTATTGAGGGTAAATACTCTGAAGAATCATCCTTGTACTGTTCCGCAAATGCAGGACAATCGAATAAAATGCAACGCAATTGTCTACAATTGAAGACAAATAAGTTTTTAATTTAATTGATGCTCAAATCTTGCTTTTGATATTAGTTACATACCTTACATTACCTTTAGTTAATCGAAACTCGTACAAGTATTCATCACTCAGAATGAATTGGGAGTCGAAGGCATACCGAAAAATTTTGCAGGGAAATTGGCCTAAAGGCGAACTAAATTGATTTGCCTGAAAGGAAACCGGTCTTAAAATCTTGTGGAAAAATTGCCTCTTTACATATATCCTAGATAGTTACCACTTCAACGCCTGCTTCAGTATCTATTCGGCTTTTTTTAGACACACTGTTGTTATTACCCGGCGTATCAATACTTCTTTTAACTGAATGGTTTTTAGTGCTTTCCACGCATTTAATAGCAACGGGTTTTTTTTGAGCTTCCTGCTGGTCAGCTGCATTGTCGCGATCATCGTCTACCAGCTCTAAAAATTCCAAATGAAATTTGGCGACTTTAATTTTACCCGCATTTCCACCTATGATGATGTCTTCAATATATTCCGCCTCCTTTTCCGATGATGCTAAACCTATATTATCTTCATTGAGATCGTTGCTTGATTCAATACCATCTGCAATCTTATCATCCGAATTTATGACACTTGGGTTGCTTTTTCCTGTTGGTGCAGGGTCTTCGCTTCCTTCCAAAACCTTTGGAAGAATCCAGTGAGGTTGCTATAAAGGGTATAAAGAGAGAAATTTACCTTTAGAAGTTCTTCATTGTCAGTCTGGCTTTTCTTTTTAGTTTGATTACTTTGGGAGGTTTTCGGTTTTAAGCCGTTTGAGGCTTTGCTGACTATTTGGCCATTTGTATTGTCCTTGCTCACTTTCTCCTGAAAACAATCAAATAACGTGCAAAGTGTGGCTAGTTTGTGTGATTTAAATTGAGGGTACCTTGCTTCCCTTGTCTTTCTCATAGTCAGACAATCTTTCCTCATAGAGGTACATGGTATCTGAACTATCACTATCAGTGTGAGGAGTGATTGAAGGGTGGTTATTTTGTTGCAATAAAATCTGGCGTTGTTTCAAATCCATACGTATGCAGTTTGTATGAAAAGATAGATATTCCTTTAGGAAGATGCGACATTCTACGCATACCAGCTTTGAAAGATTATCGCTAGGCAAAACCTAAAAAGTGCTTGTAAGTGGGTAAGATCAGAGTGCTTTAAGCGAAAGTGTACCTTCAAGGGATGCAAACAGATAGATATAGCTTGTGCTATAGTGTGTTTTGCGTCCAATTTACTGAATATCCTTTCAGTAACGTTCGATGATTCGGTCATGCACAATCGGCACACTTTTTTAGACGTATGTCGAACTGAAAATATATTAATTACATATGAAATAATACTAATATTCAGTTGAACTTGCTACCTGGAATTGAGGCAAAATCTCCACTGCTGTGGTTGGGATGTGGCGACTTAATTCTAGTGAAGGGCTGACCTAGAGCACGGAAAAAACGTATGTAGTTTGGGATCATAGGGACCATTAAAACTAGTGCTTCTGTGTGTTAGGTATATGGGCAGAAATAAATACCGTTTTCTCCAAAATGATCCATACAAACAAAGCTTTTACGGTCGGGCGTTAAGTGTTCCAGCCTCAAGGCAAGTAGCCAACTCTTCCGCACTTCCCCATTCTTTGGAAATAAGACACCAACATTGTTATTGCACTCGGGCACGAAGCACTTAGACTGTTTGTCTTCCATAGCGTCATAAATTCATAACCATTCCAGAGCGATCTGCCAACACTGAGACATGGGGCTTTCGCGATAAATTAACGGGTGCACACTACTGATTAAATTGTTATGGCTAAATTAATTGATAGTTTTCCCCGAATAAATGTGGTAAACGTAGAAATGTATACAAAATAATAGGTTAGTTGCTGTCGCTTTGCGAACGCTTGGCATTTGATTTGACTGAAACTTAGTGCTGTGTTGTCAAGTGCTGCCAGAAAAACCGAAATTGGCTGCGCTTCATAGGCGTGGTTGGATAATAGAGGGTGTGCCGAGAGAATATTTAAGAATTATCAACTTTTTGTGCATTTAAAAATTAAATTGAAACTATAAAGACTTAACGTCAAAAATACACCGTTGTATTATCCTAGATTAATTGTAATCTAGATAGAATCAGGTCTAGATCTCCTCTCTTTGTAATCACTTTCTATCATCCGTTAATGCAATTTTTTTTTCAAATGATAACGAAACACCATTTATCATATGGAAATTAATATTTGTGTGTCCAGTGGGCGGAGGGTAAATGTTCAAAGCAGAAACTGCACTTTGTTGAAATGTAAGCGATTGGGTTAATCAAGTATCAACTACAACCAATGAGTGATAATCGGGGTATGCTGATAGCCAATAGGAGACACTGATTTTGCGGTTTGATTTTTAATATGTAGCCGTTTTCTTAAGGCCCCCAAAGTGGTGTTTTCTTAGGAAAATAAAAATATGATTGGAATGAAATCACCTTCTTGTTAATATTGGAATTAAAGATAACAATTTACAAATAGATAAAAAGTTTTGCCGAAACCAGGGATCGAACCAGGGACCTTTAGATCTTCAGTCTAACGCTCTCCCAACTGAGCTATTTCGGCACATATCTGGAAGTCAAGCGTATTGGTAGAAAATCGCCTGACGCCTGAACTATTGGAGAATCAAATGAAGAAAATGGGAAATTTTCAACATCCCCAGATTCTTCATCGTGATGGTCTCAAATCGAAGGCCAGACGTATTTTGATTCTTTTCGTACTTAAAAAATATTATTTTTTATTTAGTAAAGTAAATTTAAGACTAATTCTAGTGTAAAATTGAACTTTTTTCAACTTAATTCGGAGAAATTTTGGCCAATAACAAAACTGTTAACCGTTGTGTTCTTCTAAAATAAACTTTAGTAAGTAACGATTAGTAAGTTTTCTGCAATTTTTTTTTATCAAAACCTTAGTTTGGGAGAAAAGAAAATAAAATGTGAAAATAGACTGAAATCCTAAGACTGAGCCCCATAAAGTTTAGGAAAAACATTTTTGAATTTGGAAGAAAAGGGAATAGCTGCTTTTCTATACGGTGGCATCTCTTCTACTGAGAAGCTTGCCAATAACGACCATTTTTCGTATGTTGCAGCTTTGAAAATATTACCATCGGCTACCTCTAGAAATGCTGAACATTTGTAACTTCGAAATTCCCAAATTCTCCTTGCAACTTAATAGGTATAAATTCCTAAGACCGTGGTAACTTTCACTAGAGTCTGTTTTCACACTGTGATCTGAAATATCTGTTTTCAGATCCTGTGCCTGTGTTTATGGCTTCATAACAACATCCTGCTAAGAGCTTTGGCGTTGCGATGTATTATAGGAAGAATGGGATTTTGCGCCATAAATTTTCAAATTTCAGCCGAAGAAACAGCTAGCAGAAGGAAAGAAACCAGGTGACAAAAGAATGCTTTGTTGCTCCTTTCAAGAAAACGATTCTTTCCTGAAGAAACGGGACCTAAAATTAACCCAAACCCATTTCTAGGTAGAAAAATGGTCATCGATTTTTCACTAGACCCAAACTTGTCTCGCACGTGTCTACTTGCGAGCTATAAACCTTTGTTTGCCGTCCCTCCCCCGACCACGCCGCCGACCGTGCGACCACCTATTTTGACGGGAAGGTCGGTCACGTGATCTGGCTGGCGTCTGCATTTGACCGACAAGTGAAAAAACAATCCAGCAGCAATGCCGGTTCGGGCAGATTTCCTTGCAATTTCCTCCACTTAAACCTGAAATTCTTACTGAAACCGCCCAAGGTACAAGTTCAGTTTCTTACACCATCTTAGTTCCAGTTTTGTAGCGTTTTCACTCGGCTGGTTCTCGTGCGAGTGTTATTTAATTAACACCTTTGTGCTGCCGATCGGTATCCAACTGAAAACTTCCTGCCAAAGCGCCCACTCAACGTGGCACCGCTGTAGCGTAAATTTTTCTCCAACAATCCACTCATCCGCGTACGTCATGGCCGCTATCGTTGACGGCTGCTGTTTTCTGAGTCCGGAAGATTCCTCATATCGTGGAGTTCGGCATTTCAACCAGTTCAATGTGTTGTTCGCGTGAAATGGCAGTTTCGTGTCAAAACAGGCCCCAGTTTGCCCCAATTTAGACCAAATTCCGCTCCGGGCGGATTTGCGCGAATTTTTAGTGACCACGCATGCCCATAGCCAAAGTCTGAGGTCGAGACACAGCGTTGCCGCGCCTCACCAGCTGAATTTCCTTACGCGAATGCGTGTCTAGGTAAGGCTTGCGCTTTTTCCAGAACTTTTCACAGGTCAAACTTTTATCTGCTTTCTGGGACCGATAAATTTTACTGCGGCAGTTTTACAACTGAACCTCAGACTCTCAAATAGTGCGATCCTTCAGAAAAAAAAAATTACTTCGGCTGAGAAGCTTATTTCTCGACCTAGCTATATAATATACTATTTCTAGTTATTTTAATGTTAAGCTCGATAGCGTCCGTAAGTTTGTCTACATTGTAGACGAGCGACAATCGGCGGTCGTCGCACGCCGCCAACCTAGACGATTTGAACGTCAACGAGTCGCAATCGCCAGACTCCTGAAATGCTCAGTTCAAGTCTGGCCCGACACATGCAGGTGGAACAAGAACGGACAATACGGAAACTGTCAAGCTGAAAGAAGATGGCACGTTTACAAGCACGTCGACTCGAGACCTTTGTTATGTAAGAATTAAGAATCAGTCGGAATTTGTCTGTCGTGATAGTCGTGTCGTGTCTTTGATAAAGAGTCGGTTCCTCCGGGAGAAACAGAGGAGGTAAAGTTCGCGTAAGTTCTAGCGGGTGGCGAATTGTCGAATCGGTTGTGAAGTGTTTGCGTGTTTGAGTGGCATATTCGAACAGGCAGTGTTTAAAATTCGGTGGCAATTTTTCCCTGTTTTATTGGCGCGTAGGCGGATTCTGCAATAGTGCGAGTGGCTTCTGTTCATCGAAATCATCCGCCTGCTCTCACCATGAATGTGGAAGTGCAACAATCGAGTGTTCATGTTCTTTAACATTGTGGCCTTAGACAGTTTTCGTTCATTTATATTTGGAATAGCCCGCATGTGGATTAAAAACAGCTAATAGTAAGTAAACAAGTTTAAAACAGAAAACTTAGATAATAGGAAATGAAGCAAAACACCAATCAACACGCTAAAAAGTTTCGGAATTTTTATTCAAATCTATTTTCATTTAATTTTATTCTGTTATTGACGACAAGTAAAGACCGCCTGTATAAATATAAATATTTACAATTTTTGAAATTTAGAAAATTTGAAGAACTGTTTTTGAATTGAAAGCGTTTTTTTTTCCTGTTGATTGTCACCCTGTATATTGAAGCTTCATTCACAGTAGTGCGAAATTGCTTAAAAAATACGTTGACATGTGCCTGATTTTAATTGCACCAGCTTTGAGATCTGCCAATGTCATTCATTCTTGATAGACAATGCTAAAAATGTCAGTCACAGAAGAAATTATGCATTTTACGCAAAGGTGTTTTTCGATGAACTGAAAAATTGCAAATTGATCAAAATAAGAAACCTCTGGCATAATCGAAGTATCTGTATGTGAAGCGTTTCGTTTTCTTACCATTCGCAGTGGTGCAGTAAGTACCTTTTAATGCTCTTCTCCACATCTACATTATACTGAAATAAAACTTTTATTAGACTAAATTCAAACAAGATAATAGCAAAGAGCTTTTTCGCATTTTATCAATTACTTCAATGTACAAAACGCAGTAAAAGGGATAAATGTAATAGAAAAGATCATGCTTGGTAAGCATATATGTATTCTGCATGTGCTGCTCGCATTTTTTTTTATTTAAAATTAAATTTTGCTTCTTTTCAATCGCAAAACTCATTCTAACCTTTTACCGAACATGTTTTAATCAACATTTTTCATTTGTGATTTGGGAATTTTGTGCATGTTTACTCCTGTAATCCATTTAATTGGCTCAATTTAATGGAAACGCAGCGATACAAAAACTTATAAATAATTGTTTTCGTTGCACATTAGACAGGATGATTGGAAGTTGATGGTGATTATAAGGTGGAATTCTGCATACCGCATTTTTAAACTGCGTTTTTTGTGCAAAAGACCTGCAAATTAAAATTTGTTTTATTCTAAAGAATACTGATTGCAATAAAATTTTCCATGTCAAATTCAATTTGAAAAATTTTGACTAAAACTGCGGTTTGTGGATCACCTCCTCATATGTTTATTATAAGATAAAAAAACATCTTTGTTGTCCGTTGTTTTTCTCCAGGGTTTTCGAAGCAAATTAACATTTGCGCTGTTTTCAAGTTTTCAATGTCCCAAGTTGTTGATTCAGTTCTCAACTCTATAGTCCTTTTATATGGATGAATTTATAACATGAAATCATATACATGAAAGCACTTGTTAGACAGAACGTTTTCCAGAAATGTAAAATTGTGCTGGTTAAAATTGAGGATGTTTTGATTAATTTTCCAGTGCGGACCGACGAAGATGTGCAGTCATAGCATTGGTCAAGTTGAAAAAATCCGAAACTACCAAACCGAAGATGTATTCAAGGAAAATACCACAATGATGCCGTTCCAAGCGCATTAGTGTTGAGAGGAGGCTTAATACCTGCTTGGGAGGAAAGCGCCTCCGACATGATGGAGGTAACACCGCATCTGAAGAGCGTGCTGAAGAACTACCAAAACAGCGCTACTAAATCGCTTCAAGGACCCGGTCTTTCTCTCAATCCCACGCCGATCAAAAATGAACCTCCCAGCCCGGAAGGAAACACAGAGGATGATTTTCATCCGGTTTCTCTGCCTTTTCTGGTTCAGCAAGTTCCGATTTTAGCTGCTCCAGACACGTCAAGTAGTGAACGCTGTGAAACCATACTTGAAGGAGAGGCAATTTCCTGTTTTGTGGTCGGAGGGGAAAAAAGGCTGTGTCTACCGCAGGTATGTTTTTTGCAACTTACATAGGCAATTTAACAGTTTCAACAACTGAAAAGGAGTATTCTAGTAGCGGGTTTGGGACTGACAAATTTAAAACGTTGCTATTTTTGAGAAAAGTTAAATTTTTCGTCATTTTTTAAAAGGACTCAGATAGCACAACCTAACTGATTTCTTCTTGCATTTACTACCACCGCTTATTTGTTGTATTAATAATTGTGGTTTGCGGTAATTTCTCTGTTGAAACCACATCGAAAGTAGCACCCATTCACCTCAATTAAATTGGGTTTTTCTGGTTGTTTGCAGGTGCTGAATTCGGTGCTGCGGGATTTCAGCCTTCAGGAAATCAATCGAGAATGTGATGAACTGCAAATCTATTGCTCCCGTTGCACGCCTGAACAGTTGAACATCCTGAAAACTCATGCCATTCTACCCAGTGTGGCTGGCAGTTGTGGGCTCATTACCAAAACCGATGCCGAACGATTGTGTAGTGCCCTCTTATTTTCTGGGACAAAGGTGAGAGTACGTTCCATTGAAGAATCGATGCCTAAAATAATATTTCCCATTTCCCCAAAAACTCACTATGATCGTACTGAAGACACTTTCACTCCTTTCAGAATGTAGCCTTTCGACATCGGAAAGGGGCCAGTTCGTTTCCAATTTTCCACGAGTGTTTTGGGAAGGCAAGTGGCCGTTGTTACCCCGATCTCTACACGAGTAAACACGCCAAGTGCATCGAGTGTTCAGACTGCCAATGTGGATTTTCGCCTCAGCAATTCGTCTGCCATGTTCATAGGTAGAATAGCTACCTAAATTTAAGATTTTGTTCTGATCTCTTCGGTTTGTTGCTCGTTTAGGAAGCCAGAAAATCGCACTATTCATTGGGGCTTTGACTCGAGTAGCCATTGGAGAGCGTATCTTCTGGTACCTGAGCAGGAAAATCAGGAAGCCCTAATGAAGATCTTGGATGAGTTGCGGGATAGATATGAAGGAAAAGCTCCCTTTCCGCCTCAGTTGGGCATTGATTCCACATTGAAAAGAAAACAGGTAAGGTTTGTTCGTATTAAATAAACTTTATCGAGCGACAAGCTTCATTGATTGTCTGAAAATATTCAGCAGAGTTAAGAATTCGACTCGTTCAAGTCAGGATTTATTAATAATCGACATAAAAACAGCGAGTACATGTTTACATATAATTACATTATACAACTAGTCAGACCTTGAATTGAAAAGGCAGCATACCACTCGACTGGGTACTTAAGAAACATCGGCTTGATTTCACGCTAGATCAAGTCCTATGTGAGATGCCAAATTAAGTCCGACTCTGTAAAGCGACTTCAAGGTTCTGAATTGAAAAAGAACCCCATTCAGTGGAAAAACCGTCAATGCAACTGTTTCTTCTACGTTTTTTTTTTCGTTTATATGGCGAACAGCTTAATTACTGCTTAAGAAAGCTCTATGCGAAAAACCCAGCACATTCTAGATCTCGAAACACTTATCTTTTCAAAATTGACATCATTAAACGTACAGTTACTTGCAGCTTAATACACATCCGTTCTAAACAAGGCAGACGTTTCCATTTTGTATTATTTTTCATCTTAATGCATCGGTCATGAAACCTCCGTACAAATTTATTTATAATTGTCGCTGTAGCGGTTTTCATACATGCCACTCGGCTGGTTGTTTTGCTGACTTGTTTTTGTTTGCAAAATTCAAAAATTTGTTCCTAATTTCTCAGGTAATTTGGAGAACAACGTTTCCATTTCGTAATGGAAAAACCGTTAATAATTGTTTGAAATAGTTGAGATCTTATCAATTGCACAAGCAATTGTGAGTAGCCAGAAAATTGAAATTTGCGATAAAAACCAATTTCGACTTGCGGTCTTAAAAGGTTACATAAATAGGCGAGAAGAATTCGACAATGAAATGAAGAATGCCAAAAAAATTAAACACGTAACTTTTTATATGGTCCAAACACATAGCTCGATAGTAGCGTCACGATCGTATTTTCTCTACTTTAAAAATATATCGGAATTGAAAACAACTTTATTTCTGTATAGTTTTAGGTCTAGCGAACCGCCATTGATTGGTTATCTCGCCTATCTAGACAATATCTCACAACATAATTTAATGCGTCATAAATTTGTTATTATTATTATTATTTTAAGGCGCCATGCGATGTTATAAATGACAGGGAATAAACAGCAATATAATATAATACATGTTTGTTATAAGATGACAAAACATGTTTATTTCGACCAAAATTTGCCTTGCAGTTCGCATCATTTTGTAGCTGATGGGGGGTTTTTCTCTATTCTCTCAACTTCAAACTGAATATATGTATTTGATTAAATACCACTGTTGCGTATTATTACACAATTATATTCAGAGCTTTCAAGATCGTTTCTATATGGAAAAAAGCCGGCCGGTTAATTGGATTATTGCATGGCAGCACCCATACGTTTAGGTATAAAAATGCATGAGACAAAACGAGGGAGATTAAAAAGTTTCCTATTAACATTGAGGAATTCGCGTTAAAACCACCTCTAAATCCACTGCTTTCAAAGCCCCCCGGGTTTGGTGCCAATCGCCTTCAAAATTTCCTCTATTGGTCCGTCTATGAGCTCTGCTGTTGTTCAAAACCATGCAAGTTTGTTGTGGTTTTCCGATTTGCCCTCGTACGGTTTTCTTCGTGTTTCAGCAGGCGGTTTAGTCAAATCACTGAAATGGGTAGGGCCACGTCTAAACTCATCATCATTGAGGCAAAGCTATAATTATAAAGCGATTACGCCAGTCACGGCGAACATTTCATACAACCACACACGACTGGTTGCAATCTGGCTTGTATCATCCGCTAAGGAGATGCTAGAAATTAGCTTGTCGTGTTCGTTCTAGAAATGGTTCGAAGGCCCATTCTGGACTAGCCAAACTTGGAACAATTGTGACATTTCAAGCAAGCGTTTCGGTTTTTGTTGGGTGTTTTTCATACACGCCCCAGTTTTTTAATTGTTGATTGTTTTTGCGGCTTATCACTCGGTTTTGCCCGGACGGAACACGAAATTGGGTCTGTTATTACAAGCTTAAGAGAGAATCGGACATTTTTCAGCTTAGGTGCGTGTTTAACGGGCATTTAATAGCCGCAATGAAGAAAACGATTTAGTTTCTTTGGACATTCGGGCCGAAGAGTAGCTGACTTTGAGGAGTCAAATCGAAATGCTGCTGTAAAGCTTTGATTGAGAAATTAACGGGGAAAAATTGGTTAAGTTTTCAAAGAATAAAATACATATATTTTATCTGCTTGTACAGCAAACTAGTGAAAAAGTGACAAGATGGCAAAAAATAGGAGAATGTTATGTCCCGTCTAACTTTCTAAAATAAGAGGAATTTATTGCATCGGCCGTCATACGCGTATCTGCAATCTGTTTAATTATCTTCCATTAACCTTGCGAATCGCCATTTATCGGTCGTTAAATTATGGTAAATGCTCCTATTTTAGATGGTCGGGATTTTGGATTTGAATACATTTCGCTAATTACGTGTTAAATTGCATTAATATTTTTGGCATTCAGTGAATTCGCTTCTTTGTCCCCACATTGACCTCGGTTCCAGCCACCGTATTGTGTTTCTCGTGCTCAACACTTCGAAAAAGTTTGTTGCCCGAAACAAAATAGCTAAGTTGACATAAAAGGTCGTCGTTTAGACGGAGTTTGTACGAAAAAAAATTGCGTCGTGGCTTGTTTTTCACATTTGCAGCTGCTTGCTATTGTCGGGAATGTTTCAAATGGCCAATTGGCGCTTTGATTAGCATTTTATAATAACCGATCTTGGGTTTGATCAGGATGCGGAAGCGATTGCAATAAATCACATTTTTTCGCAGGCATCGATTTTTTAATTGTTGAAGACCGGTTTTATGCGACTGCACTATTTCGAGCCACGTGGCAGATCATCAGTTTACTTTGCGTGTTTGCGATAAGACACAAGGTGACTTTTAATAGAGGCAATTGAGGTTTTAAGGTGCGCAAATTTTCAATTTGCATCCGTACGGTGTTTCTAAAACATGCAATCGAATATTCAATTCAATTCCGGTTGGCAGCGTTGTCGGTAAATGTCGTAAAACGGTTACGCAATTCTGATAATGATGCCCTTTCTCTGCCCTTAAAATGCGGCTTTTAATCAGTTTGCAAGTGATTGAACGAACGGTCGGAACCAAATCTATGTCTATCGAGTTTTTTTCGTTTGTATGTGTTTTTCAAGGTATTATGGAGTTTTTTTGTAAGTCCTAAGAACCTTTTCGTTCGTCTCCTGAGACAAAGACAGTCCCTGGACTGCAATCAGTAAAGCGAGAAAATTATTGATGAAAAAGTGCTGGCAAAAACTGTAGAATTTTCAATATATTCACATCTGAAACCATCAAACGAATAAAACAATATAAGTGGATTTTATGGGGTGTTCTTGCTGCGAACATAAAAGCAATCAGCTAACATCGATTAATTTCCGCTAAAGAGCTATTGAAAGGTTCGTCGTGTTGGTTCTGTGAGAACAGCGAATGGTTGCCGCGTTCGAACCAGTCGAATGGTCGTTCTGGTCATTAAGCGATTGATGTTGATAATAAATCTCGTTCTCAATCTCTACTATTGCCGATTAATCGATGAGTGCTTCGAACGAAAATAGCACATTTTGGTAATCCGTAGACACATCAAATTCGATAGCCTGCAATTTTCTGGGCACCAGACCGTCTATGCTTTCGTAATGACTATTATTATTGCATCTGTTTATTCACTATGCTGCCAGGACGATGTATTTACGGTCTGTGATTGCGCTCGTGAGATAGTTGGAATTTTTTTTTGATGCAATGATACGCCAAGGTCGCAACTACTGAATCAATGATAATGCAGGTCTTTTAGCGGCAGCTGTTCAAATCGATGCTGTTTGCTAAGGATGGCCTGTGCGTCGTTCGCACGTCTCCTTAACCTTATCCGCCCATTCATCACAGTGACGGAAAAAATCCCGATTTTCTGATAATTGTGCATTCCGCCAACGCTCCAAGTCTAATTATTCAAGGCATTTCTCTCGTCCAGATCAACATGTGATAAGTGCCGCACCACATTCGGTCAGGTTGAAACCTGCAACTGTTTCAAATTTGGAGTGAAACGACGCAAATGCATCCACAATGTGCAATTGTAATGATCGGCGTTGAGATAAGTCGTACTGTTTTTGCAACAAAATGTGGGCAAGCGGCTAAAGTATAAAGCAAATTAGTTGTTGCCTTATAAAATGCATCTCACGAAAAGGACAACGACTCTTAACAAATGACACTTGATGTATCTTGAGTTTCGTTTAATTCGCTAATAAGAGACAGTATTTTTTAAGTCTTTAGTTGAGGGTTTGGAAATTGGCCTCATTCGTTTGAATCCTTATCGCAAAAGACCGTCAAGCGTCGAAATGACGCACATTAATAATTCATCTTCGCAAACAGATATCGATGGGTTGAGACAAAGCAAACGCAGTTTGGCTGCCAGTGCGATAACTCGTCGAATCGGTGACTATTTGCAAAGGGCAATTGACCCAAACGAACAACACAGAAGGCATGCAACAAATGCCAATAATTTACTGAAAGCGCCATCCTACAATTCTAAATTGGCATTAATAAGGCTCATTGTTTTTAAACGCGATGGTTTATGAGAGTGGCTGTGTCGCCTCGGCAAAATTGCAACATCCCACTTACACGTAATTATCGCCATTACGGCTAAACAGCCTCGGACAACAAGGCTTTAAATTGTTTTCGTAGACACCTCAGTGTGCAGCAAGACTGAGAAACGATGGGGCAATTTTCAAAGTGAGATTTTGCCATCGTGAAAATTGCATTCAATTGATGCCGATACTAGGAAAACGATGCAAGAAGTAGAATTAATTGTTCTATAGTTAAATTCTTCTATAATTTCAAGGGAATTTTAACTTGCTTAACTTGCGAGCAAAAGTCTCGCTTAAAATTAAGATTGTAAGCCGTGAACGTAACAAGTTGGAACGCGGTTATGCACAGATTATTG